GATGTTTTGGAACTACCCAGTGGGTGCGATCAGTTTGTGTTCCTCAAAACCATTTTAAGGACTCGGACAGAGTTTAATGTTTCTTTTAGTAGCAGTTCCTCGTCCGTACTTCAAAAACCTGCGAGGAATCCTCAAGTGAAGGATTTGGGGGCCTTTTGGGCCTCTGGGTTGTAGGGACGTACACAATTCAAGATTCAGGGACGGAGGTGCTTACCAAAACAAAAGCAACAATGGCCTTTATAGGTGTTGGGCTCCTCCTTTGCCTACTCTAGCGGGTTTCTGCAGGCATCTAAATAAAGCTTCGTGGTACTTGAATATGTGGTCTACGGAAATCGCGCTTCCGCTCGGCTGGCCTTCTGGGAGATCGAACATGGCTTCGAAAAGTCGCGTGACCTCCGGTTCAGGGCATTCGAAGGCATCGGGTACATGTATTGGACATGGGCATGTGTGAGCAGTGCTTTGGAGTGATGAACCTTATGATGTGAACCCCGTAAACCCTGAAAGCACGCTCAACGGCAGCCCAACATCTCCAAACCGGAAACTGCTACTTGCATGGCAGGGACCTCCGGGCGGCAGCGCAGGAACCAAGCAAAGTTGCCTGCAGCACCACTCGGTGTGCTCGCTCGCTCTCTCTCTCTCTCTCTCTCTTTCTTGCTGTTGTTCTTTCTTTCTCTCTCTCTCTCTCTGCCATTTATCTCTGTGTTGGCTCAGGTTTGGTTTTGCAAGGTTGGGGCCTACAGCGGGATGCAAACCTCAAATACGACTCGCTACGAGCTGCAGTTTGATTCTTCTCCTGCTGTGACGTTCGTTCGATTCTGCAGCGCCATGTGAGAGAGTCTAGCATCAGAGCGGTTTGCAATATACTCCATCGTCAGTATGCCTCTCAGACCCCGTCTAGATCTTGCAGACTCGCGCGCAAAGCTTTGAGCTGCAAAAACCCGCCGAGAAAAAACCCTAAACCCCAACCCTCCCTGTGTCCGTGCCGTGGCAAAGCCCAGCGCTGGAGCGCAGGTCGTTGGCAGCTGCCGACCGGGGCAAATGATGCTCACGAACCTGACCAAAAGGCTCCCCAGTACCGGGTTTAAGGATTAGTCGATTGGGGGTTTGAGGGTTTCAGGGTGCCGGTTTATAGAGTTTAAGGTGTATAGGGCTCTCTTTCGCATTCTCTTTCTCTCTCTGTTGCTCTCCTTCGCCCCATAGTGGGCTAAAACGGCCTCGTCCAAGCTCCGGAGCTCCGGAGAAAGCATCCTCACTTGGAGGGTCGGGGGACTTAATAAGTAGGTAGTAGGTAGACTTAGAAGTACCCTAAAGAAAACCCTAATTGGGGGTATGGTACTTATAAGTCCCTAAAATAACCAGTTACTAAGTCCCCCGACCCTCCAAGCATGGACTCAAACACAGCGAAGTGCTTCGCCCGTACTAAGAGGGTTTTTTTGGGGTTTTCGGGTTTAGGGGTTTCGGTGCTCACGCTCGGACACTTCAAGTGAGGCGTATGGCTTAGGCTTCCCTCTTGCATGACACAGGCTTTGACTGTAAAAGTCAACGATGAAACAGACATTATGAGAGCTTAGGGTTTGGGGTTCACTTGTAGAGTTTAGGGTTTAAGGCTTAGCATTGTGTTTTTTGTATGTCGAGGGTCAGGATTTGCGGGGCGGCTTGCCTGGAATGTACTGGTAGGACTTCAGGTTCGGAAATGTACAACAAGGCGGATACGGTGGCACGTGGTCTCTGTGAGGCCTCGACTGCTAGAAGCACCATGTGAGAACGTATGCATGGCTTCTAAAGCCCCAAACCCGAAAAAACGAAAACCCCAAACCCTTAAGCCCAAAACCCTGGCCAAGTATCTGCAAATCCTCCAAAAGGAGCTTCAGAGCCTGTGCCACAGCGTCGCCGGGAAGAATATCACTCAGCACAGCATAGCCTTCTTCTTTGAGAAAAGCCCTCCAGTTGTCCCCAGTGTTGAAGAACTTGGGCGCGAACCTGGCTTGCAGGACTCCAGCTCCAAACATGAGAACATTATCGAACAACTCAAAAAGTCCCAAAGCCCCGAAACCCTGGGTAAGAAATCTTGGCTACGTGGTGCAGCCATGGAGTGTTGCTTCGATTGCTCTGGTTACACAGCCAGGCTACACTGGAGGATCCCACACGGGGGCTCGCGCCGATGTCGGCAGTGTGCCGCTTGTGTGGCCCTGGTGGACGGTCCCTAGGCTGTTCGGCAACACACTTGTCGAACAAGTATACATCGTTGGGCTTCTGTTGTATGGTCCCCAGAAACATAAAATCCACTGAACTACCCAGGTACGGCTGTCCCAAACCACAAGTGCAGATTCGTGGGGATGCGACGGGCGAGGCCGTGGGTCCAGCTGGACGGCGCGGCTTACAAGCGACGGGTTTCGCACCTTGGCTTTGCGAGTTTCGACTCGCACGTTTAAGGTTACGGTTAAGGGTTTCGGGACGGCATACCGGGTGGGTAGTGTTGAAGCAGTAACCGGTACTCCAAACCACCCGTGGTATTGACATTGAGTGTTCTTAAACGATCGACGAGGCAATCCGTTCAAGTCAAGGCATGCTTTGTGTCTTTTTGTCGACATGATTTCTGTCAGGAGGTGGGCCACCCGGGAACCCAAAACCGTCCACGTTTCTGAGAGCTCAACACTCGGCCGACATGGGACGCCGAAATGGCCCTCTAGCAAGAGCCATCGGGGCGTTGGGTTGCCAAATGCCCACACTAAAGTAGCTACATGAAGTTGCAGCGAGGCCGAACGTGCTACGCACAAAGCATGAACTAGCAAAACCAGCCTCGATAACTAAACCATGCTTCTGTTGCTTTAGTTTCCTTAGCATAAGAGATCTGCGATACACCTCAAAAATCTTTTCCCATGACTAAAGCCCCTATCTTGAACTCGCCCAGGTGCCGCTGTCTTCGCAGTGCTCCCGAGGCTTCCGCCAAGCCTCTGGAAGGTGCCATCGGTGTGCGACCGCGGCACCACCACCAGAGACCGAAAGGCCATTTCTATCGGGCCGCTGAGATGGCCGCGGGACAGGTCATTGCATTAACGCGCTCGCTCCATCAAGCGTTGAATTCCGAGATTTTGGGGTTTCGGGTGTGGAGCTTTTTAAACTGCGGCCTCAATGATTGGGACACGGCTTTAGGGTTTAGGGTTTTCGGGCTTGTGTATGTCCGTATATATATATATATATACTTTGGTTGAAGGCTGCCAATCGGTCCTTATAGTATATGGGGATGAGATGGGTTTATGTCCAAGTTCTTTAACGGCTGTATACATGCGAAAGTTCTAGGGCTATGCGGATGCGTTTAGGATGTTAGGGCTTGTTTATACAGTCGCACTCGGACAAGCCTGGCAAGGTCTGCAGCAACACAAGTCCACTCGTTATCTCAACCCCCTGATCGATTCATCCGGCAGAGTTGCTGTCAAGCTCAGCATCAAGCAACGCCAGGAACAGTCATCGAACAGTAAGACTGTGCTCACTTTGACAGCGACTCCTAGAGCCCACACCACCTCCTAGTTCGTCGAAAGGCCCGTGAACTACTCACTTACCACTCGCAGGGTCGGAGATCCATCCACACACCCGCCGGCAACGCTTGTGGTTGCGAAGGCTGGATGGTTCCCGTGAACTATAACACAGGGAGGCTCCAGTAACGAACGGGCATGCGAACGGTCAGGACCGCGCGAAAACGTCAGGGGACATGTGCCCTCAGAGTTGGAGGCTCCAAACGAGTATAGCGTGCAACGCAATCTGTAGCAGAAACTGCCACCATCCCAGGCCTGCGAACGGCCTATAGGCCCGTTTAATTAAACATGCGGGCACAAAGCAGCAGCAAGTCCCTCTTGTGCAAAGTCGTGCAGAAAAACTCAGGCCGGCATGCAGTTCGTGCACATGTCTTCTGGGCAGGCAGAGTTGATGATTGTCCGCGCATTTGCAATCCATTCCCGGCACTATCCCACAAAGGCATTCGTGAATTCCCAATCCCAAGCATAGAGGCATGCCAGCACTTGCACCAGGTATCAGCACGCATGAGACGCCAATACTCACAGATCCAGACACCTCGTCAAATAACGTCAAAATCCAAAAAGCAGACTGAATTCGCGTTTTCCATGCACTTCTGCAAGGTTACACTGACCATGAACTAACCAGGCAAATCACTGCAAGGATTTCACCGTGCAGTTGTGCAGCACTTGCACCACATCAGCATGAAGTTCAAGTTCGCAAGGTCACATAGAGGCCGCAACAGCATGCAGAAAGGAGGTAATTATCGCCCGCACGGCGAAATCTTGGCAGGTCGGGCAGAGGCGCAAGTACTTAACCGTCTTTCACTGCGGACATGGCCGCCTTGGCAGTGTCGCCAGGCACCGTGCCAATCATGGCGGAAGGGGACCAGCCATTTGCGCAGGCGTGCTCCTCCGGATTGAAATAGGTGGTGACTGGCGACAGTGACGGCGAATTCCTTTCGTCCTGCGTCTCGCTGCTGCCATCGTGCTTCTCCATAGCTACGGTAAAGGCTTATATAACATGGGAAGTTTCAATCCAACAGATGCGCTGCATTCTGCATGTTGACAAGCTCTCCACATTCTCTGCAGAACAAAGATGATTTGACCGCAAGCATGTGTTGCTTGAGCCGTAGCCAGTCTAGGGGCAGATCTGCGTTTCGTGGTATATGCGACTGGTAAAAAAGCTTAGGGAACCCAAGGAATAATATTGGCAAGTATTCAAGCCCCAAACCCGCAAAATGTCGAGCCCTTAAAGGAACCCTTAGGGCTGATCTTGATAATTTATTAAGTAAGCCGAAAATACCCTAAGGGTCCACGTGCCCAAATAGCAGGGCTTCATGTCCCCAATTCCGTACTCTGGATGGTGTTGGGAACCTAAAACCGTACTACTTGAGTACTTGGACCCTCAAGGATAGCTTTCGGCTCAGAGATGAGAAGACGGGAGAAGATCTCGGCAGCAACGGCTCGAAACGATTGGCTCACTGGGTCCTTCTCCAAGCATGAGTGCGCCGAGTGTCTCCGAGACGATGACATCCTGAGTTATGTAGCGGCGTCCATAGTTAGAAGATCTCTATATTTCTTGCTTCCCACCTGGCAAGGACCCTGCACCAGCTGCAGGCTTCTATTTGAGAGCTAGTTGTTAGCAAAATTCGGTATCATTTTACTCTTTGGGGGTCCTTACAGTAACTAAGCCTCCTGGAGAACTATCTAGGGTCCTAGGGCCTGCGGTCTCTTATTTGGCAACGTGAGGCTTCTGCCGTCTCACCTCTGCCTGAGGAAGCCTCTCCGACCCGGGCACACATCTGTTACCCAGGCTTCCTGCCACAGTAGCATTAGCGTCGGTTCCATTGCCCCGAAATCTGTCTTCATGAAGACCTAAACGCAAGGCAAAACCCCTTCTCCTACAAGGAGACCACCAGTCGTTCGTACTCCTGTTCCTCCAAAATCGTGGGTATTTCGGGTACGTCAGGGAATAGCTAAGGGGTCCAGGCTCTGGGCACCTAGGTCTCTGACTGAACCTGAACCTTCACATCTTCGACGATTGTGAGATTCGTTAGAGGCTGAGTACTCCAAAAAGGTTAACAGGTTAACCTTTTCAACCATGGTAGGATCACATGAACTCCAAATGGTTAAAGGTTACCTACTCAGCTACTAAGTAGAAAACCCTTTTACACCTGGACTACGCATATGCCAGGAACCGAGGCACCGACTGTGCTCTGGGCTCGTGCCACACGGCTACCCCAGATTGCAAAAACTGATCAACTGGTCATCCCAAGTTTCAGGATGCAACGACCACGTTAAGTAGAAACCCCTAAACCCTAAAACCCTAAACCCTAAAACCCTAAACCTTAAACCACAAAAAGCCTGAACCTTAAACCCTAAAAGCCTGAACCCTAAACCCTAAAACCCTAAAACCCTAAACCCTAAAACCCTAAAACCGTAAACCCTAAAACCCTAAAACCCTTAAACCCTAAACCCTAAAACCCTAAACCCTACAACCCTTAAACCCTAAATCCTTAAGAGTTCCGGTGAAGGGCCAGCAAACTTTGAGCCGAGAAGCGGCACGGGCCTCTTCGCTCAGCTGCACCTTGCTGCTGAGGGCGTGGAGTATCCTTGGTGGCGAAACAGGGGTGGGTTTAGGGTTTCGGGTTTTAGGGGTTTGGGGTTTAGGATGGTTTAGGGTTTTGGGGGTTTGGGGATTTATACGGTTTACATAGGGTTTAAGGAGAAACATTGAAAGCCAAGGTTGGGCCTGCAGGTTAAGATTTCTGATCAGACAAGACCTGAAGTTCAGGCGATACTGGAAAGACGAACACCTTATGACCTCTGAACCTACAGAATCGGGCCCACTCTCTGGTGCAAACATGGTGGGAAGCTTCTCTCTTGAAACGCTCTTGCTAGGGATCTGCCACTGCCCCGCAACTGTCGAACGTTTGGGCTTGGGACACAGTTTAGATCCGCCCTTGCCCTAGCACCAGATAGACAAGAATCACTGGCCCCACCCCATGTCATCCACCAGCCCAGCCAGCCCCGCAGCATTCCGCCGACGACAACAGCCAGGGATCATCCCAGACCCCAACCCCAAAGACAGGCCAGAAGGTGAGATTGCAACTCGGTTGGGAGGGTGGAAGGAGAGACACAGGAACCCATTCTCAAGCTTTGGTGACACTCTCCGTGCGATGTACAATGTATAAGTTTGCTTGTGCGTCTCTCCTTCATTCCGACTGACCAATTTCCCTAAGGATTGTCATCTGTGCCACATGTTATATGGTTATATGCACTGAACAGCCCTCCTTGTGTAGGCAATGTACTGTATACTTCACATTATTACGACGAACCCGGCCTAACAACACATGACATCCTCTTCACTGTTAGACGGTTCTTAGTTGCTGAGTTCATAAGCCCCGAAAAGTGTACACTTTTAGTGTCATAGTGGGTAATCTTATCCCGAAAAGTGTAGAGTGTATCCACTCAGCTACTAAGGGTTTACGCCTTCACAACTCGGACTAGCCAGGCGAGGTTCCAGAGGCGCAGGTCGCCGTGACACTAGAACCGTGGCTCCGGCATTGTCAGACAGTTCAGAGGGTCTAGGGCCTACCTTAACCCCAGATAACCTAGCCTTTTAAGGACTTATATAAGGAAATCGTACTAAGGAACCCTTCAAGGGTTTGTTAGGGTCTTCTAGGTGTAGGTTTAGGCTTCAAGGTTCAGGGTTTGCAGAAGACCCACCCACCCCCTTCTAGCTGCAAGGCCAGATGCTTGATCTTGTCCTCCTGACTTGCTTCAGAGTAGCTTGTCTTAAGGCTGTGGTGGGCTTGACAGTAAAGTGCCACTGCAAGGTCCAAATTATCACGAGTCTCTGCCAGAGCTTGGACAAAGCAAGGACTCATCCGTCTGAAAGCAAAACGGTATAATCCCCAAACCCTGTCACGACATGTCACGACCCGAAAGCACGGGTTGTGACAAGCTCTTACGACTTACGAGTCTCCTGCCCGTTGCGCTCAGCATTCAGTCTGGCCTCAGGGGGCAGATCGGCTCAGCTGAAAGGCTTCTCAAAACCCTTTTGCAACAAGCTTTCCACTTCGCCCGCAAAACCCTACACCCTAAATCCTGATTCCTGTTTTGAGCCACGGGCTGGGGCCCCGGCCCCTGATTCAAAAACCCTGAACCTAAACCCTAAAACTACGGTTGATGAGAAAAATCCTGCATGACCCATAATAAGGAATATAACACAATTCCCATAGTTTAGGGTCCTTAGGGTAATGCAGGTTTTTATATCACCAACAGTAGTGCTTGCAGTGACATGCGAACCCAGAGGCTGGGAACTCTGAAGATCTTTGCCTGCAAGAAGTCAATGACCGATCTGCTTCAGTTTGGGGGCCTTGCTGATTGGGACAAGGTTTTGGGGTATGGTATTGTAGTATAGTTGCACAGAGCCTATGAGGGGGTACGGCTACCTCCCCCCCCATCCCTCTTCCTCTGCCTCTGACGCCCAGGTATATCGGAAACTCAATGCCAACCCGACCCACGAAAATGCTCCCTTGGAGCAGACGCTGCCTGGACCCTTTACGACCTTCCTTTTTTGGAGTTCATGATGATGATTCTCCTTATATAAGTCTTTAAAACGGTAGATTATTTGGGGCTAAAGTTCACTCTAAAATCAAGATGTCCAGACGCCTGCCAAAAGGCTAAGGGCCCGAATCTTCTCCTTTGCTGTGCAGTTCTCTTGCAGACATGTCGCAAGCTCTGCCATATCTTTGGAAGCCTGGGGCAACCAAAGGCTGGGTTCTGTAATTGGGGAAATAAGTTTAGTTACCGTGACTTGCCGAGTAACAATATGTGATCCATGAAAGGCTACGTGGTTTTCACGGTGGCTTAACTCACGTTTTTGAATCATAACCCAGATTGTGGGCTCGTGCAGCTTCAGGACTTGAGGTTTATAGCGTTCAGCGCTTAGGGATCTCGGGCCGATGTCGGGATTCAATTTTTGCCTGTGATCCCAGGCTCGGACAGTGGAGTGAGCGTTGCAGGCGTCAGTCGGAAACTTCTGAGAGCCAAGTCTGAGAAATAGGTTGAGGGATCCTGGCTCCCATGGCTCATCCCGGCTCATCCCTAAACCCGAAACCCTAACCCCAAACCCTAACACCACGGTTTAGGGTTTAGGGTACCGGTAAAGGTCCAAAGGACCTGATATTTAGGTACTTGGACAGCGAGGGATAGTATAAAGGAGCAAGCCTGACAACTTCCTGCTCTCTGGACCTCGCCTATGAGCCGCCAGGTCTCTCTGACTAGAAGGTACCCCTTTTCCTGCTGTTTGGTTTTAGTAAGGGGGCCCATAAACTAAAAGGGGCACCCGGGTACGAGTCAGGAACCTAGTAAACCCTAAATCACCAGTCCGTGCAGTTTAGCACTTGCCATGCCTATGGGTGCATCATGAGAACCCAACTGCACCTGCAATCGAAATCTTCCCTGTTTCGAGATTATGGAGGTTGTAAGGCTCCAAGGTACCCGGCTCTCTTTCTTTTCTGTCTTTCTTGCTTTTTCTCTCTCTCTCTCTCTCTCTCTCTCTCTCTCTCTCTCTCTCTCTCTCTCTCTCTCTCTCTCTCTCTCTCTCTCTCTCTCTCTCTCTCTCTCGCTCTCTCTTTTCAGGCCTAAACCATGGAGAGCACGACCTTAGTGAGCCTTCCTAGCCTTCCCTGGAACCTGCAGCGCCGCCTAAGAACCTCGCCGTCGACACGGCAGAGGGCCAAGGCCGCAAACTAGACTGACGCGCAGGCACATACACAAAGGAATCGAAATCGGGCACGGAGGGCACAACATAGCTGATCTATAACTGTATGTAAGAACTATAAGGACGTAGCTTCACTAGCTATTCAGGCCTCCGAATTCCACGTTTGACACTTCTGGGTTGTTGTGCCTTTCATGGTTATTAATTTTACCTGGTCAAGCCATACATACATGCATACATACATACAGATATACATATATGTAAAATAGTATATAACATGACTGACATCTCTGGGGTTTTGTGTCTTTCGTAATCTCGCAAGTACAGCCTGTACATGCCAGCACCAGTCCCTGCACCATGGCATTTGTTGTGGAAGCCCCGAGTATAGGGGCCCGAACAATTACACTAGCAATAGGGTCGTGGAGTCTTGCCCTAAACCCTAAACCCTCGGAGTAGAGTACAGCACCGTAGAATAATACTCTAGGATGCCCATAACCTAGGAAGAAAAAGGGATCCCTTTTCGGTGTTGGGTAACTTTACAGGGAACCTAGGACTACAAAAGGGGATAAGGGTACTACTGGGCATCCTAGTACTAGGGAACCCTGCAGAGCGGCGGTAATTATTCAGGCCCCTAGGCCGCCTAGGCCCAAAAACTCAGAAAGCCGAAATTGACCATCTGAGCTGTACATAGATTGGGGTCCCATTCTCTCGTGAAGAGTAGAGGTTACTTACCAACCTCCGGCTTCAGAAACAAATCCAAATGGATATCTGAGGAACTTCCGCAAGCTGAGCTGTACATTGCTTGGGATTCCATTGACTTTAGGTTACTACCAACCTCGGGCTTCAGAAAATAAGTTGGATGTCTCTGACAATTTCGCAAGTTCAAGCCGATGTTTCCCAAAGCACCCAACCACTACAGCCGATCTGAAACTTGGGCCGGAGGTCATCGATGGCAAGGTAGCCCACCGCCTTCACGGAGCACATGACAAAGCAGACATAGCCAACGAGGAGCACGAAGAGCACTGCTGCCTTTTCTTGCATCATGGAGCGAGACGCCTGGCTCGACCATCCCGACTTCGCATCACTTTCGCTGTCCCGGAGAAACCTCCAGTACAGCAAGGCAGGGTAAATCTGGGTGACCCAGGGCGTCGTAAGGGCCGTGACGAAGTCCAGAAGCGTTCCGATGCTGGGGACGAAAGTGGCCAAGATTAAAGCTAAGATGAAGGTTGGCAGCGTGTAGCCCAGATACCGCATCACATCAAACACGGACCACGTGTCCCTGAAGCTTGGCGCCCAGCTCCTTTGGCAGAACCGGCAGAGCGGCACTGTGTCGAGCATGTAGGAGACGAAGTTTCCCCCCAACTTGAAGCAGCTGAAGATCGTGTTCACGGCAGTCCCCGGCACCCAGGCATCGACGCCTGCTGTGATGCTGATAACTTCGCCGACTTCGTAGCCCCATCGCGCCACCACTATGCTGCCTACAACACTGAAGACCAGAACGTTGAGGCCTCCCGCGAAAAGGAGTGACTTCTTGAAGTCTGCGGGCGTCTCCATGCAAGTGCTGAGCTCCACAGCGAGGAAAGCAGGGACATAAGACCAGGCACTGATAGTGCAGCCGCTGGCCAGCCTCACCACCATCATGTTCAGATCAGTCTCTGGGTTGCCGACTAAGTGAGCGGGAATCTTGTCGTCGATGTCGTACAGGAAGACCGCTGCCAGCATGCATGCGATCATGCCGAAGGTGCACACGAGCGAGACTTGCGCGAAGATGTTGGCATTGCTCAGCCTGCGGACCTGCGTCGTCATCAAGCAGAAGAGCGCCACGAGCCAAACGTAATAGTCCGAGCAAGCGCCCAGTGGGCCGATACTTCCGATGCCCTGCAGGGCATCACCACAGAAGCGCAAGGCGCAAGGCATGAACAAACAGAAGTTGCCCAGCTGAATCCTTGGCTCTGGATGCCTAAATCATCCTATAAATAATGGGTTCCGGGTTTGAAATTTACGGTTCCACATTTATAGGACATACCACATAAATAAATAAATAAATAAATAAATAAATATATATATATATATATATATATCATGGCCCAGGGTCAGATTTCCGAAGACTTCGCCAGGTCGACCGTAGACCTTCAAGCCGAGATCTCCGAAGGTTTCGCAGTCCGGATAGCGGAGTTTGATCTGCAGCAGCATATTCCTACTTCATGGCTGGGATAGAATTAAAAATGCATTTTGTTCCTTATTGGGTCTAAGTACCCTTCAAAGTATAAAACGTTACCCAACGATGACAAAGATTCGAGCCAGCAATTGAGGCCCCAGTGATCACCATGCAGATCACGATGCCTCCGATGAAGCCAGCATTGGCAATTGCAAAGGGGACAGCCATGACTGCCGAAGGTGCGGCAAAGGTGAAAATCAGAATTCCTGCTTGCCTCCAGGTCTTGGAGGTTCATGGGTAGTTGTAAGTGGGGTTATAAGTAGGGTAAGTTTACTTATAACTCATATCAGGGGACTTATAACCCCACTTACAACTACCCATGAACCTGCAAGTAGGGTTTAAGATTTCGGGTCGAGGGAGGGCCGAGTGTCTAGGACTTATATCCCTGCCTGCCTCCAGGTCATGATAGCGCCTTGCACCTCTTCCTTGCCATGCTCCAAAGCACAGTCCATGGCAGGGAGCTGCCGGAGACGGACACCTGAACCCTGAACCGTGGCTGCTTCTGAGCCTGAGTGATCTACAAGATCATTACACAGCATTGGGTTTGTTTTTACTGATGGGGGAGAGGGAGAGGGAGAAAGAGAGAGAGAGAGAGAGAGAGAGCGAGAGAGAGAGAGAGAGAGAGAGAGAGAGAGAGAGAGAGAGAGAGAGAGAGAGAGAGAGAGAGAGAGAGAGAGCGAGAAAAACAACGAAACTGAGTCGGCCTTACGGTCCCTGGCAATGAAACCATAATATGCTAGAACCTACCCCGGAGTCCAGGTCTAAATAGTCGATTAGCAAGTGTCAGGTTCCCTTTGCGTTTCGTCGGAGTCTCAACGAGTTTATAAGGGGCTGTAGACCTAAAGCTAGATTTTCGAGGATTTCCCTCAACCCTAAGCAAACCGCTATACTTATATACACCAAATGCTCCTCATGTTCCCTTGGCTTATTGACACCAAACCCTGCACCCTAACATCCCAAAGGCCAAAGCCGAAACTCGAAACCTCAAGCCCGACCTCCCCCATGGAAAGCTCATAATATTCTAATGTCTCCTGCTTTGGAAACCTTAATATCCTTGCTATTCAGTTTCTTATCATATACGCTGCAGCCTCCAGCCTTAGACTCCGCGGGAAACCTGGCCTCCACGGCGACGACGGAACTCGCGCCCAGCTTCGCCGCCATCAAAGACAGGAGTCCGCTTCCAGAGCCTGGAACCGAAGGCTTTGGAGACGAGCTTGGTTTAAACAAATTATCAATACAGACAGTATAGTTTCATTATCGTATAGAATGTCACGATGATACTGAGGGGCACTGTCAAAAGGCAATGCTCTTGAAGGGGCCTCGAACCCTTTCAAGGCCACAGCATGATGCTTCTCGCAAACCTTTCGCACAGTTCCCTCAAATGCTCGAAGTGTCTCATGTCAAAGCAGCACCGGCCACCACACGGGAGTCCCGCCAGCTTCATGGTCACTGGTAAGCTGGTGATGGTTGGTTTCAGGCAGGATTCCAAATGCCCAAACACTTCGAGACGCCAACTTCAAGCTTGGGATATGTTGTTTTGCTGTTGGATTTGGGGCGGTTGTAGGGTTGAGGAGTAATTAAAGACTGCAGCATTGTCAGGAAAGGTTGCCGGCGGTGGTCTTCCGGCTCTTAATGTTGAACTCCCCGCACAGGGGCAAGGTGCTCAAAAGCCGGCAATGGCTTCGGTCGGGGTGGGGTTGGGGATGCTTCCGCAGTGTCGGCAAGAATTCCCACGTTGCTCCAGGGATGCATCCAAGTTGCCCAGGATGCGACCCTAACACAGACGACCATAAACAATGTCTACACTGGCGTGAAGCCGCCCGACTGAACAACCAGTGAATCAAGCATTTATCGAAGCTGCAGTCTGATTGATGTTCTGCCGACCTGGCTAAAACTCCCAAGCCCTAAGCCAGCAAACAGCAAATCATAAAGGGGCCTATGTCGATCACGCGCTTGCCCTGGACGACCGCAGCTAGGGCATCCCAGTAGAACTGATTTCGATGAGAATCATTCCTCGGCTGGGGGAAAATAAATTTAATGGACCCCATTTAGGACCTGAAGGAGCGTACAAAAGCTTCTGGTTTGGTCTTTACCCCAACGAGAGCTCCAAACCCCAAAAAACCCACCAATAGGCACTGGAGTAGGGTAAGTAGCAGCCCGTCAATGCAGCATGGGTCAAATTTTCACGATTCCGGGAATCCTGGCTGCAGTCTCCACCCTATCGTGACGGTTGCCATCTATCTGATCAAAGTGGCAACGGTGATGCTACCATGATGTAGATGACGACCCCTTGAAAGCTACAAATCATAAGCCGGGCTGGACAGACAAGACAGCAAATCAAGGAATACAAAATGCAGGGAGAGAAGGCTCCCTGCCAAGAGCATCCAAAGCTATGACGAAGGGACGGGGTGCGGCGGTTCGTTAGAGTGGCTGCTGTGCTCGAATGAGTAAATATGGGGTTTCCGAAAATAGGGGACATGTAGTACCCTAATATAGGATCCTTATGATAAGGACCCCAAATAAGGTACCCCAATTTCGGAAACCCCCATATGAGCAGCTATAAGTCTCAAGTCTAGTGCGAGCGGCTCGAACATGCCGTCTCCCCAGCTAAACCAGGCTGTTGCATGCAGCTGTAGGGTTTTGACATTAGGGCACTCAAGTCTAAAACAAAACAGTGCATGAACTCCCTCAAAACAGACTCCGGGCAGGTCACAGCATGGCAAAGTGCCAGTCGTTCACGGCCTGTGATTTGCATGCTGCTGTCTCGAGGTCATGTTAGCCCGACACAGCAGGGTCAAGCAGCTACCTTAAAACTACCAAAACATGCCAAAGCCTACATTTTGATCCTTGTTGTTGCATGGTCTTGAAAATGGCGTCGACTTGGCACTACAGTAGAGTACGGAATGCTCATTTGGGGCACCATGCACCTTTTGCACCCATGTCACCGCAGAATCAGCAATACAGAGGCCTTCGTAATTAGTTTCGGCTTTCGGGGGCCCAGTATACTATAATTATGATAAGGAACCCCCAACAGGTATCTGTTGATATTAAGGCCCCTATAGTAGACCAGACCGGCACTCTGGCACCTCGATGAGTGACTCATTGCGGCCCCGCAAGCGCGGAGGAACCCAATGACCTGCTTGTGGGACCACTTGAAGGTTCATGGGTAGTTATAAGTGGGGTTATAACCCATGTTATAAGTTTACTTATAACCCATATTAGGGGACTTATAACCCTACTTATAACTACCCATGAACCTCCAAGCAGGTTGCTGGGTATAAGGGCATGTGTTCCCATGCGCCTTTCCTGGTCGAAGCTTTGGCTTCGGAGCTCATGATATGGGTGGTTGTCAAAATTATGGTCCCATTTGGGGTCCCTATTATAGTACGGCGCCCATTATTTTGGGTACCCAAAAAGGGACCCTAATTTTGACAACCACCCATATGAACCCCCTTATAATGAAGCCCTAATAAGGTGTGGATTTTCCTAGAAAATGCCAGCGCTTAAGCCTAAACCCTGAACCCTATCAAATGCTACGGTTGATGATGTAAATCCTGCATGACCTTCAGGACCCTAAACTATGGGAATTATGGTATATTCCCTATACTGGGTAATGCAGGATTTCTATCATCAGCCGTAGTGCTTATGTTTAAGTTGTCCGCGTTCGCATTCGGAGGAAGCAAGGACCCCGGCCTCGAGTCATCGCATCTTCGTAGCCTTGGCAGTGTCTTACCCGGCCCCTTTACCCAAAGGCCCCAAAGTAGTTCCTTTTTGGGGTTCATATATAGAATCCTATAAGTAGTTCCGTTTGGGGTTCATATATAGAATCCTATAAGGTAGTCCCCAAAACAAACTACTTTGGGGCCTTTGGGCAAACTCAGGAGTATTCCTTCCTCCCTGGTTGGGCCTGCACTCTCACAACTCGGACAAGCCAGGCAAGGCTCCAGAGGTTTAGGTTAGAAGCTGCCCCCACCCTGTGACTATAAGGATTATATAGGATTATATTAGGGCCCTATTATATTCCTATTATACCACTATTACAGGGTGGGGGCAGCTTCTAAGGTTTAGGGTGTTCTGTTCAGGCTCTCGGGATCATAAATGCCCGGGACATGGCATGCACCCCGGGCCCTGTCCTCGTCTTTGTTAGTCTTTTGATTACTACTCGGTAGGACTCGGTAGTACCTGGCATTGTTTTTGTCATCAGTGTATTGTGTGTGATTAATGTTATGTACTGCTGTGAAGTAGCCCTCGAAGCCAAGTTGTGCAAAACTACTCGGAGCAACTACATCTATGGGGGTTACCAATGATGACTGGGAAATGCACATTTGCCAGCCCCTGACATGTTTCAGGAGTTGTCCAAAGACTGCCATCTGGCTACCTGGACCCTGGAATCCAGCACCTTTGTCTGGATAACCTGCTCTATGATAAGGGTCCTATAGCCAGAAACCAAGGTAATCAATACAGGGTCCATTATGAACAGACGTGTCCCTACTGTGTGACCCGGCTGCCGGGCTGAAAAAACAATGATCGTTTTAGGAACTGTTATACAAGGACTCAATGCTAGGACTTGCGGGATAGATTTGGTCTACATGTGAACATGTTTGTGTGGGTGAGTACGTGTGTTTGTACAGTGAAAACAAGCAAACAACTAGACAGGTCCACAAGCTAACGCACATATAGATTGATAGATGGAAAGAACGATCGATAGAGATATAGACCGGTAGATAGATGGACCAGGCAGACAGATCCATATGTGCATGTACATACACACAAACACGATTGCATACAAATGTGCTGACATATACATACTCTACTCGACTATACTGTACCTCTTTCTGTCTCTTTCTCTTTCTCTTTCTCTGTCTCTTTATCTTTCTCTTTTTTCTCTCTCTCTCTCTCTCTCTGTCTCTCTCTCTCTTGCTTGCACTCAGCCAAGAGAAGGGCAGGCACCCTCCCCCGAGAGCTCTCTCTCACTCTCTCTCGCTTTTTCTGCATCTCTGTCACGGAAACCCAAACACCCCAAACTGCCACGGGCGCTTTTGCCCGGTGGCGCGTCGAGTCCTCGTACTCCTCGCCGTCGTCACATCCGGGAGGGATGAAAGAGTCCTCGGAAAAAAGCCCGGCAAAACTGGTAAATTGAGTCCTGTTCGATTTACTCGGGGTTTGGGGTTTAGGGGCTTTCGGGGTGCAGGGCCTAGGATTTCTTTGTCGAATGTGATAAGGCGTCGAAGTTGTGCTCCAAAGGTCCATAGTAGATTATGGGGGGATCACCAACAAGTAGTGAGTTGCTGAGGCTAAATATTTAGCGATGCCGACAGAACACTATACCGCTAGGAGCTCCAGGCACCCCTCTCCAGCATAGTATAGGATGGGTGTCCCGATCCCGATTATAGGGGTTGGGGTTTCGGGTTTAGGAACGTGTTTAGGAAGCTATGTCTGGGCTGGGCTGGTTTATATTGGGTGTTGTTGGCTGCTTTTGTTTCGGCCAGCTTTGCATGTACCGCAAGCTCGAGTGTGAAATCGTCATACACACCGCCCTAAAACCTACTACTGACCTTTCTCCGTGAAACTGTGAACCCTATAAACCTTGAACCCTTAAACCCTAAACCCAAGACCCTGAACCGCAAAGCGGTCAGTCTCGCGGAGTTTGGGCTCAGGGGCTTGAGCAGGGCTCCGGAGTTGCAGGGATTCAACTGGATACCTGCAGTCCAAAAGACTCACGGTTGAGATTCTGCAATACAGGGGCCTTAAAAATTAGAATAGGGTTTTGGGGCCCATTATGCTCTAACTTAATGCGGAAACCCCTAGAATAGTATTGGAAATTCTTTAGGCCCCTATAGAAAGGAGTTTTTTCAGGAACCCGAAGCAATGTAGGGCTTTTGGAATACAGTGAGTTTAAGGCCAAGTAAAGCCCGGAATAACCTACTTTTTTAAGGACTTGTATAAAGAAATCATAATAAAGAGCCCTAAAAAGGTAGGTTATTCAGGCTTAAGGAAGTATTTACTTAGTAGATAAATGAACCCTTCGGGGAATCAGTGCAGCAGAGACGCCGAGTACTTTGGCGCCTTCGGCATCGCAGCTACTGCCTGGGCCCGGGCCAAGCACCGGCGGGAGCATCGAATTGATTGATATAGGGGGCCTTGAGATAATTTGAAACAGGGCTTTGGGACCCATTATATTGTGATTATATCTAATAAGGAACCCGAACAAGAGCAATTGAACGTCCTTCATCCATCAACATCACTAGCAAATGTGTCAGAATCAGCAGCTGGCGCAAGACCCGAACGCTTTGCAGGGGTCTTGCTTGTAGCCACCGCATGATTCAGCGCGCACCAGCATCACCTTTCATGCGCCATCCCTGGGTCTGAAACGAAGCCCTAAAACACCATTTGTGCTTCAGGACTTGTGCAATCGCCTGAACGTGCTACTATAGGGCGCCTTAATACTTTAGAAGGTTTCAGGGCCAATTATACTATGATTGTAATAAGGCTTAAGAAGGAGTGCCAAAATCATATAGATAGTTATTCAGGCCCCGAACTTGAGACTCTGAAAGCCCAGGCCCTAAACCCCGCTGAAAGATCTCAAGTGCCGAGGTGCCGCCGCAGGACGTTTGGGTCTCCACTGAGGCTTGCCCTGTCGAAGCACACTGTTACAAGGAGTCTACGCTGTTCAGTAACCCACTAGCAAAAAGCATATACTTGTTTAGGCTTCTTACTTTAAAACAGGAACCCAGAAACCTGAAAGTCAAAAAGTGCACCACTGAACAGCCTGGGAGGTAAGTAGATACCAGCCAAGCCAACCTCCCTCCCGGCCTCTCTCTCTCTCTCTCTCTCTCTCGCTGTTGTTTCTCTCGCTCGATCTCTGTCTCATCTGCTTTTTCTGTGCACAGAGCGAGAACGAGAACGACTTACACACGTCGCATACAGTATACGTGCATACATGCATACATACACACACATACATACATACAACATACCAACAAACGAACCAATACTACTACTACTACTACTACTACTACTACTACTACTACTACTACTACTACTACTACTACTACTACTACTACTACGACTACTACTACATACGCTTAAAGATAGCTACCTTTAACAACGTTCGTGTCTGCAAACAGAAGCGCATACACGCACACACATGTATATGTATCACAGCGCGTGTACGCGCAGACACACACACAGTGACACACACACACACACGCATACGGACATATATCTGCATAGATACACATGCGTACTTCTACGACTTTATCTATATGATGTATAGCACATACATACATACAGACATATATATATATATATGTATAGATATGTATGTGTATATATATATATATAGAGAGAGAGAGGGAGAGAGAGAGAGCGAGACATACATACATACATGTGTGTGTATATATATATATATATATATATATATATATGTGTGTGTGTGTGTGTTTGCGTGTGTGTGCATGCGTGGGCATACAAACTTTCAGACCCGTGCATGCTGCTGTACCTTGCTACTTACCATGTGCATGTGTAGCAAGCGAGCATGTGGCATGGATGTGCATATAGGCCGATCCAAGCCAAATCCAACTGTGCTTATGAGCATATGGCTTTGATCAACTGTTTGCTTGTTTCCAAGTGTAGTCTTCTCTTTGCAGATGTGCTAAACTGTCTGCAGGGATGCATGCATGCATGCATCCGAGGGATGCACCCGCATTCGTACATACGCGCATGCAGGCGGACGAACGGACGAACAAACACTCTATCCTTGTGCGTCCGAACATAGGTACAAGTACACACGTACACACAGCCACAAACAAGCAAGCAAACACGATCCTTTGTGCCAACATACATGCATACAGACATGCATGCCCGCATGTGTGCCTTCATGCCTTGTTACATACAACCACCTCACATACACGCACAAGCAGAAGACACTGACAACGCTCAGCGCGAGGGCATGCGTGCGAACACACATTGAGATGCCAACGGCACATGTTGCATGCACATGCAGCAACTGCAACCACCTGAGTGTCATATTTAGTTCGCACTAGGAATAGCGGTCCACACTGTGACGCAGCAAAACCCTTGAAACAACATGCTCGTTCAAGACAGGCACCTACATGTTGCCTCCGTCAACTAAGGATTGGAGGAGCCGGGTAAACACTAAATCTCGGCATCGTTATACTTGCCATTTCTATCACTGTCTTGGAACTTGTGTTATCTCTCTCTTCCTCCTGTTTGCACGTGCCGTGCTAACGGACATGCCTATCCAACTTACATGTGACCCCACTTGCTCCCAAACTCTGAATCGCCTGAACTGCCTGACTCTGAGTTAAAAAGCCCTCACAAGGGCGTGAGTCCGGTCCTCCTTCTGCGGCTTGGCTTTGCCCATCGGCGCGGCCACACCGCGCGGACGCCGACACAGCTGCTGTGCCAAACGCCAACCGGGAAGGGTGGGAATATCGTTTTGGTTGTCTTAATCTTAGGGCTAATGGAGCCTGGGCTTCATGATTCGGGAATTTGGCTCGGAGTTCAAGCAGGACTGGTTGTAGGTATTCACATTGACTGGAAGCCCTGGCTGACGAGCCAGATGTATGAACACTTCTAAACTCATTCATATAATGAGTTTATAAACAAAACTTATGTGTCTATCCATCTTGCTATTTTTATTTTGGTATATGTGTGTGTGTGTGCGTGTGCCTATCTACGCATACAGTGATTACTCTGCTATTTAGACTAAATATTATATGTACCTGTAAACTTCTACTCAGGTTCATGATCTGTATTGTATACGCATGTGTTAATGAAAATTTGTAACAAATCTTGTGGCTATTCTGTCCATTCAGACTTGCAGTCCGGCGAATGCTCTCCCAAACCCTAATCACCTACGTCGGCTACTGCCGCTGGCACGCTTCACAGAGCCAGATTGCGAAGCGAAGAGAGACTGGGACCACAGCCAGTGCACATCCAACCAGCGGAAGCAGTGGGTTCAGGATATTTTTGAAGGGTTCCTATAGGGCGCGGACCCTAGTTCTAAGCCTCTAAGCAGAGTCTCAGGGACTTGCATGGAGCACCGTCCAAAGGCTTTTGCACCCGTGTCAGGCATCCCGGTGTGTGCTCTAGTAAACAAGTACATGGGGACGCTAATACGAGAGTTTTTTCAGGGATCCGGTGCACGTTCCTGAAGATAGCCCCTCCCCAAGCCCACGGCTCGAAATCATGAGCCGAAATCCACGGCTCGATCTTTTGCAAGGGTTTTCGTAATCGTAACGTCGTCGGAAGTTATATAAATCGCAGGTTGTACGTAGCTTAGGCTCTAAGCAGTTTAGGCACTATTATATAGGTTAGCGGGAAGCTTATGATATGTAGGGACAGTGAAAACAATGTCAAGGGTTCAGGTGTTCACCTCAGGCCGGGAAGATATTGTCAGCTGCATGTGGGAATCATGGTGCAGCACCTTGCGCCGAAGACTGCTCTTGTCAAAAAGCAATGCTTGTACTCAGTACTCTCAAGCCAACACCGCTGGAGAACTGGCCGAGGGTGTGCGTTTATAGTTAACTTTAGGTCTTCCACGATGCTGGGAGAAGGCCCTGTTGCTTCCAACACCGCTGTAAAACTATACGGCTGCAACCCAGGACCTGGCGTCGTTTCTAGCTGCCTCAGTCGGGCCCTCGAAAAGAAGTAAAGCGCCTCCAACCAGAAACTTGAAGCCCTGTTCAACCCTGAAACCCAAAGCCCCAAAACGAAGCTTGCAAGCCTCCATCTTGGCACGGCCTGGCCGGAGTATCAGTGCATCTGTCACTGCACACGCTGAGCCGCAATGCCGAAACATTGGAAGCGACATGACTGTGTCCAGCAACTACTCCGCGACGAAGGTGCAAGTTCCTAGCCGTGCTATTTCTCCAGAGATTCTTCGAGGTTTAGGGTTTAGAGGTTTAGGGTTTAGGGTTTAGGGATTCGAGGTTTAGGGGGGATGGTTATGAATGCTCTCGCTGCTAAACTCGGGACAGACAGACATGCTGAGGGCCGCACCGAAGAGCTCCAAGGCACGACTCCACCTCCCATACAGGGAACTCCAGAAAGTTGGAATATGGTTTCAGGGTAGGATCCCCTATAATTTACCTTAAAGGGTTTAGGATAATCATATTCTAACTTTCTGGCTTCTACTGTAAGAGTTGATGCTGCAGTGATCCGAAACTATGAGCTGCTGACATAGGGTCAACCGCACGAAATAAATCTGCATGCATGCATGCATGCAACTGAACCTTGCGCCCTGCGAGCATGTCAAAGACGACTTTAGTGCTTGTACTGCTGGCGGTTACGTGCTGCTCCACGCAGGCTTGCAGGTGCGAGATATAACACTAGCCCTCGACAGCCCAGACATGTACAAACTCCCAAGGGTAGCGATGCCTGGTTGATATTCCAAGCTGTGCCGACAACAAAGCCTCTCCCGACCCTCGCTGAGCCCTAACCGTCAATGCCTCAAACATATGCCCCATGCACTGGGCTCTAACCCTCGATGCACCGTCCAAGCCCTGAACCTGCACAACTTTAAGTAAACCTCCTGGAATTGAAGAGCTTCGATGCAACCCTAAGCTCGAAGCACGCTCCCTTCCTCCCCTAAAAAAGGAGACTTTCGACACAGCCCCACGAACAGGACCAAGAGCGGGGCTGATGAGCGGAGTCGCAGGCGGTCGCCACGGCCTCAACCGCAAATGCGCTGCGGCAAGAAAACTCTGCATCGATCATGCGGTATGGCACTTGGAGATTCATGGGTACCTACAAGTGGGGTTATGGAACTAGAGTTATACTTACCAAACTTGTTATGGCGTTATAATTGTACTTACCAAACCTATGACCCCACTTATAACTACCCAGGGAATCTTGGAGTGGACGACGACAGGTTGCTCGTACCATGACAAAATGTCAGCGACAGCGAGCTCCGAACGTTAAAGTCCAACACAGCCCTTAGACAAAGCACCATTGCACAGACAAACCACCCTGTAATAAGGATTATATCGGGCCACTTATATTCGTATTATACCACTATTACAGGGCAGGGTGGGGGCAGCCAAACTTCCTCTTGCACCAGGAGGCACTGTACATCGCCAAGTCCGGACCTCGGCAGTCTGTGACTTGCATCATGCTATCACTCCCCCGTGCAACCATAGAGTACCCTAGGGCTCCAGCCACCTAAGTAGTAGGTTACTATAACCACACAAGTAGCCCAGTAACCCCACTGCGTAGGAGTAGCTGGAGCCGGGTGAGTTCAAGCTTCAGCCCTAAGCAGTCTAAAGGAGCGATTCGCATCAGTGGATCGATGTGCAACTGTGGCAGGTATGTTGTACACCTAGATGAAACCAAATCCTTGAAAACCGAAAGCCCCGCTGAACCCCTACAAACCCTAAACCCCCCAAAATAGGAGGCCCACGAATCCAAAACACAAGCTCTCACAAAGCCCTATATACGATAACCCCTGAGTAGGAGGCGCCAATTCAGAAACCCTAGTTGCTAGTTAACCCCTAGAAACCCTAGACCCCGCAAACACGGGAGGCCGTTCTTTAAGAGATCTCCCGCCGGGGATCCCGGCGGAGGGCAGCGTCTCGGACCTCTCGCAGCAGAGCCCATGCACGAGCCCCCTGCGCAAGGGAGGCCCGGGCTGAATCGAGGGAGGGAGGTAGGGTTGATAGTTCAGGGATTACAATTTATGAGGGAGGTGGGGATCGGGAGGGAGGAGGTAGGGTAGTTAGGGCTTAGGGGGTTTATAGGGCTTGGGTATAGTTAGGTTTTAGCGTTTATAGGGCTTGGGGTTGTTAGGGCTTAGTTGGTTTCAGCACCCTGGGTGTAGGCTTTGGGAGGAGGTAGGGAGGTAGCTACAGAGTTCAGCATTATATAAGGGGTTTAGGGTTCGAGGTAGAGCGCAACATAGAAGCCTGACCTTCAGGATCATCGTACATCATTCCTTATAGGGTTCACTTTAGGGTTCCTTTGTGATATGTGTAGCATCTATTATAACTCGAAGCCGTAGTCGCATTGCTAAGCCCCTACATTAGACTCTCACGCTCGGACCCGCCGGATGAGACCACGGATTCAGGTTTAGGAGTTTCATACCTTTGGTTACTAGGGAATGGAAGAATGGTAGTAATAGTAGTTAATTTTGTGCCCCATTCCAACATTCCCTACTAAACAAAGGTAAGGTTTACAGCATAATCAAAGGGGAAAAGGAGGGACCTTTACTGGGGACCCCCACCCTATAATGGGCTATATAATGGGTATATAATAGCTATCTTTAGGCTATTTACCTAGGGGTCCGTATTAAGGGTCCCCCCTTTTGCCCTTGGATATATAGCACTTGAAGGGTTCAGAGCTTCGGACTGCCAGAGCGCCATGGATTCTAAAGTTGAGGGCTTGAACTACTGTTGATTATAAAAATCTTGCATTACCCATCATAAGGAATATACCAAAATTCCGATAGTTTAGGGTAACTAAGGTACTGCAGGATTTTTATCATCAGCCGTAGGACCCTGCGAGTGCCCTTGAATGGGCCCTTATGGTACTACATAGTGGGTAACTAGGTCATAAGAGAGACTGCAATGGGGTTGTATGGGTAGTTCGAAGATTTCCTGCTTTGTAGAGTCTTGAAATTTCACGATCGAAGACTCTGTAAAGCTTAAGCTGTCCAGAGGGCATATGTAAAACGAGGGCGCAAAAAAATTGAGCTTTCTACACCTGAGACATATGCACAAGCTGGCATATATGACTACGGCCGTAAGAATAAGAGCCAAGTCTAAGTCTGTGCCACACTCACACACCCTGACAGGCCAAGCTTTCAAGTAGGAATGCACAACTCGGACAACTAGAACTTCTGTAGTCTCCGTATAAATAGCGTACAAATACAAATCAACAGTACAATGAAGATTAAACATATTCAAAACACATCTCTATAAGTATGTAGAATATGAACATTTTTATCTATAAAGCACTAACTATTTCTTCACAACTCATACCAATGTCTATTCATTCACTTAATCATACATACATTCATACACTGGAATCACAGCGTGGGCACGCAGCGAGGGGCCAAGCGTACATTTTGCTGTCTAACTGCTGCTGCTATTCGGTGGAGCTTGGATATAGAATCTGCAGTTTGGGAGTGCAAGGTTTCCTTGCAATGAAGATAAGCTACAGCATGTCTTGCAAATGAAGCCGCATCCCTAACATGCAAAAAGACCTCGACATTAAACTTAACACAAAAAGCTCTAAACATCTCTAAACCCTCCGCAAAGGGTCCTACCACATGTTGGAGTGTGGTCTTGTGAGAACATATGTCATTCTCGGGTTTGATACTGGCAGAATGAGGCAAGCTAACAAGGTACTGCATTTGAGGGCTGACCGAGGTCTAGGGGGTTCAGCTGGACGGAAAAGGCTTATTTCAAGTAAAGGGCCAAACAAATGCAATACAATGACATCGATCCAGAATGCCAGAAAGTGGGGCTATGGCATTGATCCATAACGTGAGGATCGCCGCATGAAGCATGAGCTGATCATTTCATCCTGGGGCCCCTTTGGGCTTGCTACGGGTTCGGCGAGATGGTGATACACAGTAGAGTACGTACAGCGTAACAGATACAGACATGGAACAACGCATGACAATCGCCCTGAATCCAAAGAATAATTACAGTATACAATGGCACAGTGGTGACTAATTATCAAGGGCAGGCCATGGGCGAGGCCATGCACCGTCAGGAAGGCAACAAAAACTCACTGCACCCTCGCTTGAAGCATTCGCCTGCCCGTTCCGGACACAGTTCGTGCAATAGAGACGCAAGCTCAGCGAGTGGTGTCATTGCTGAGACATCTTTCATCCTAGCCGGGTGCGAAAACACCAGGCGACCAGAAATATCGTAAGCAGACCAGGCAACCTGTGTCCAACACTCCAGGCGTCGAGACACATCCGCTCAAACCCGCGACACATTGAAGTGGTTGACACCGGCCTGTATGTAACTCTGGTTCGGACATCGCGTCTGAGCATAGGCGGTTGGCGTTGCTCTCAGTTCCGCTCGATCTTCGTGATGAGAGTGTGGCCACCATCTGACCATTGCGGGAAGTCGGCCACCAACCAGCCGCCGACACCACCTGCACCAGTACAGCACTAGCAAACGGCTGTTTTGGCTCGGTGAGAATAGGAAAACATACTTATGTAAGCTCTTTTATCATGCCTGTACATGGTGTAACGCTACTCTATTACATCGCAACGAACGTCTCACCTCCAGATCGGCGTGTGCTGCTTGGGATGAAGCGAACAACCCAGAGCCTCCAAAACACCGTAATTAAGGAATATACCTTAAAATATATTTTAGGGCTCCTATTATAATTTAAGATATTTATTACTTAATTAAGGGGTTTTGGAGTCTCTGGGAAGTTCCTATAGATCCCTTTAAAGGAACCCTAAAGGAACCCCTTATAGTTGCTAAGTCCCCCGACCCTCCAAGTGTGGGCTCAACGTGGCGTTTCGAATACCAGAGACGCAGTCATCCGAAGCCCGGGGCGGCACCTGCAAACTGTCGGCTCGCATGCTGCTGCCTAAAAAGTTTGTTTGACTCGGCGATCTATATGTAACCTGCATATATATATATATATATATGTATATATATATATATATATATACATATCATGATAATAATAAGCATAACAATGGTATTAGTAACAGTTATTATTATTACTACTACTATTTTCATTTTCATTATTATTACTATTATTGCTATTGTACTTGTCTATACAAACATAACAAATTTTGTATGTATACATATATATATATACATGATATACATGTGTAAAATACGCACTTATTTATACAAAGATAGACGTGTATATATATATATATATATATATATATATATATTCACATCATTCATGAAACATCTAATGCCGGACTATCCGTCTCTCCTCGTCAATGCTTGTTTACGCCTCGTTTGCCTACATGAGGCGCGACGCACGATCATCACTGCGTCTGCTCTGTGCTTTACAGACGCAAGAGGCACACCTTTAACGACCATGCCATGTCACCGTCCACGCATCGCAGCGGTGCCAGAGCATCGGCAAGTGCAGCAGGTAGCGGGGCATGGGCGCTGAAGTCTGCCTCCTTCAGGTCGAGGTATCCTGGAATCGCTTCATTTGCGATTTGTGCGAGCTCGGTCATTGACCACGTGTGTGTGTGTTGGCACATACATCATTCTACATTTTTCTACCGGTTTTGGGGAATGAGATCAGACTGCGAAGGCGGCAGGTGCAATTCCTGGGTGGGTGCTTCGATCAAGCTCTGTCTTGCCCTACGCTTCCTTGACTCAGTACTTTGACGGTTGACCGGGGCCCCACATGGCAGCTTGAGGTAAAGGGTCGTCCATGAAAACTTCTGCAGCCCAGCATCTTATGCGCGAGCAGTGTAGAAAAAGCCGTGGACATTGCAGCAAGCTGTCCTTGCGCCTTCGAAGAATGTGTGGTTGCTCTCTCTCTCTCTCTCTCTCTTTCTCTCTCTCCCTCGCTTATGTTGCTCGAACTGAACAGAAGGAAAAGCAAGGAGTTCCACTTTCTGGCCTCCAGAGATATGCTATACTCTACCCAAACTCATCTTCACCCATCTCTCGAAAATACATGTTGCATGGTTCGTGCGACGCGAGGGTCGAATTACGACATTCCAACACATCCTTGCGTGCGCTGTCACACTGAAGTGAAGCCTACGCCGTCAAGTCCCCAACCTGGAAACACTCCCGGGAAGACACCTTCCGTAAGTTCTGTCGCCGATCAGCGGCCGCCCCAGGTGAGCCATGTGCACACCTTGGCATGTATGGGGGCTAGGGTTTAGAGATGAAGAGTGCCTGCGGAAGCTTGAATCACTGAATCATCAACATGCTTGCGAACTTTCTGCCCCGGGACCGACAGCGTATCCCGCAGGGCTTAAGCACTTAGCTGGCACTATTGTTGCAAAGCCCACGCTAGTATCTTTGCAACCGCTGAGGCAACCATGATTTTGAACAATGTCTCCATGCGAAGTTTGGGTCGAGTCTCCCGTGATGAAGCTATACGGTAGGGGCCTTGAGCGCTAGAATAGGGTTTGGGGCTGCTTTTTACTGTAATTATACTGAGGAACCATCAAAATGGTATAGGTGATGATTTAGGCCCCTATATTAACCCTATGCCCCTCACACGCCCTGCATATCTCTGTCTGCTCCTCCCCGCAAACTGACGGGTTCACGGGGCTGGCAATTTCCAAGCTCTGAACTCCGAAACGGATACCCAGATCATGGACAGCTGTACCCAGCGCGCCCATAGTAGTTCCTTTTTGGGATTACCTTATAGGGTTCTATGTATGAACCCCAAAAAGGAACTACTTTGGGGCCTTTGGGTAAACCCCCAAAAACACTAAAACCCTACCTCCGAGCCCCGCAACCCAGCACGCAGAACACTCTGAAGCCAATGAGCGGATTTGATGAGTGCGACCTGTGATCGGATGTGCCGAGAGCAGCATCAACTCTCGATCATCGGCCTCTCCACCGGGAAAGCTTCGGAGGGGTTTGGGGGTTTAGGGTTAGGGTTTAGGGTTGAGAATTTTTTCCCGTAAATGATACAATTTGGGGGTTCCTTATTATGAAAAAATTAATGGGCCCCCCAACCCCACTCTAAGGTTTTGAGGGTTTTGGGTTTAGGGTTCAGGGTTTCGGCGCTCAGGGCTGAGGGGTTTGGGGTTTGGGGGTTTGCATAAGGAATCCATGGGCTTGAGGTTTGTGGTTGCATGGAATCACCATTTCAAAGCACTCGACCACCACTGCCCCGTATTAAAGGCTACAAGTTCAAGCTGCAGCACTCCGACATTCCAAATGAGAGCTGCGACGGGATCTTGGGGCGCTTAGCTCAGCATCCTCTTGAAGATTAGGATCGCAAGGGCTTCCAGAAAAAGCTTCGGATTCGAATTAGGTTGCAAGCGATTTCGAGCGGGTTTGGGACCGAGGCTTGAGGGGTGTAGGCTTAGGGCTTCGGGGCTTCGGCTTCGGGGCTTAGAGAGTTGAGGAATTAGCGGGTTCAAGGTTCCGTTTTTTTTTTTTTTGGGGGGGGTACTGTTGATGATATAAACCCTGCATTACCTTAACGACCCTAAACTATGGGAATTATGGTATATTCCTTATTAAGGGTAATGCAGGATTTATATTATCAACCGAAGGACGAGGGTTTGGCCAAGGGCTTTGGATTCGGGTATTAATGTAGGCGCCTGAGGAATTGAAAAATATGGCTTTGGAGTTATACTATAGCATTCTAGTACAGACATCATCTGGAACCCTTAGTTTAAGGCATACGACTGTATACAAGGACATATTGCCATTCCTACATACACCCCTATGTTATGCCTATATTGGTCTTTCACACCCCAATATTGGTGTTTCACAGCCCCAAACCCTAACCCTAGAACCCCAAACGCTGAACCTTAAACCCAGAACCCCAAACCGAAACCCTCCACCCTAAACCAGCTTCAGGAATGTTTTTTAGTAGAGTCCGGACGAGTCCCCTGCGGAGCGACCATGTTCAGCTGGGCGGGTGGCAAGCAAGAAAGCAGCTTCAGGGTTTGGGTTGAGGTCGAGTTTAAGCAGCACGCGGCCTGATCGGATGGATGTGGAGCCTGAAAACGTCCGAGGACCTGCACTGCTGAGCACTATGGTTCCTGTGCATCTGTATGAAGAGATAAATTTAAGGACGAAGATAAGCTTACCTGCATGTATCGGCATCTATATATATATATATATATATATATATGTTGCTTTTGCTTTCAGCTTTCTATTACCTTTCGATTTTTGGTTAACCTTCTACTACTACTACTTTTGTTGTTATCACTTTCAGCTTTTGTTTATGGGGGTGGTCTTTGTAATCGTATGGCATGGCTCATATTTTGCAGTAGGCGCACCTATGGGTTAGTGGTTTGTGGTTTTATGCCCATAGTGCCATAGGACATGTGCACTTTGGGTGTGAACGTTTATCGGAGGTTGTCTAGACTAGAAAATCACAGAAAGCACCGCGGGCGTGGAACACATCTCCAGCACCCTGTAGTTGTGCTACATAGCTCCTCATGCACCAAACTCAGACAACCTTTGTGTAAGGGTCTACGGTTGTTTGTAGGTCTCTCTCTCTCTCTCTCTCTCTCTCTCTCTCTCTCTCTCTATATATATATATACATATATATATACATACACATGCACACTATAATGTACCTTTAGGTACAAATGCCTGTATGTGGGCACGTAATTAGGTATTTACATACGTATGCCTGTACGAATGCAAGAATGTATGTATGACAATAATATGCGGAGATACATACATACATAAGTTAATACAAGATTTACTTGCATATAGTTCATGCGCTCAACAAGATGCTGCCCAAAACCCAATAGGGCCTGACAGAAGATCCGATAAATCTCTCGCAACTGGCACTCCCAAGTGTGAGCCGTTGCCTAAACCAGAAACTCCTAATCGCCCTTAGGACATCTTGCGGCCGTTTGCACCCGCAACCGGGAGACCTCCTAAGCCGCTGTAATCTAGCACCCACGAGAATATTCGTGTGTGTACTGGTCAGGATAAATCATCAAACCCAAACAGCTTCAGAGATCAGCATCCGAGAACTATGAATCTTGTCCCAGCATATGCCCAGAGCCCAGAACCCCAATGCGCCGACAAACCCTTGAAGGCCCACACTCCTCTTGCACTCCAAGGGAAGCCACCGGAAGACATTATGATAGTTCCATATTGCCCACCCTGCGCAACCCAAGCCCTTTTCTCTGAATCCTACAACTATACTATGGTAGTTTCAGGTTGCCGCGCCTTGTATTCAGTCCTCGCCTCTCTGCCAAGTTCCGAGTTGACTTCGCTGCGACTTGTCAACCCGTCCTCCAGCTTGGTTGCTGTTTCGTTCAACTGTGGCTTTGCGGACGTTTGGGCTGCTTCTTTTGACTGGGATGCTGGCAGGTTTTCGGTTTTCACGGTGCCGAGGAGTGCATCATGCTAGGGTTTATGGTCAGTAGGCCTGGTCCAACTTCAGGCCCGCGTAGTTCTTTTTGTTCTGCTACCAGTACCTTGTTGGAAGCCTTTGCAGAGATTTTTTGATGTGTGGAGAATGTGGAGTACTTCTTAGATGCCTTCGGCAGTTTGCACGGCTTTGGTCAGCTTGGAAACCCTTTTGCAGTCGGAGGCATTGGCATTTCGAGGCAAGCGAGTGCTGCCGATGCACGACATAGGATGGGCCAAGAAAGCGGACACTAGGTAAAAGCAAAGCGAGCTCTCCCTATGCAATCAAACCACCGAATCGCAAAAAAACCGTGCACCCTTTCTACACCTGGTTCTACGAGGTCTATACAGTATTACATGAACCGAGGACAAGCCTTAAAGCACTAGTCACTGGAACGCGTAACCAAAAAATGACTCGACATCTCCATATCAAGTGTTGTTCTACATTAGTGCATCTGCTACCCCTGTAGCAGGTTTACAATACCCAGGGCCTTGAAAGAAGCCCCGAAAACCCTCAAGGATTCGGGCTTGGGGAGGAAGTACAAGCTTTGAACGCCGGGTAATTAGGGTGCCGGATTTAACTGTTGTATGGACTACTTGAGTGAGATTTGACTGATCTGTGGGATCCTCTTGGGAACTAACTTGGTAAGTGCTTCTCACATCCACGGCTCCTACGAGTATATAACCTTTCATCACAACCAGTGAACCGTAAACACTTTTTTTTGCAATTGGCACTTGGCTTCGGGACTAGCCAAATCCTTTGGTTGCCGTAAACCCTAAGAACCCTAAACCCAAAGCCACTGCCAAGGCGCAACCTCCAGAGTAAGAAGTGGCACATCCACCGCGCCCTCCGTGTCAGCTGGCCCGAGGCTTGAACCTTCACCTCGACTTGCTGCAAGCTTACCAAAACAAAGGACCGCATGGGGCTTAAAGCTTGGGTGAAGGAAGCTATGTCGGAGAAGCTTTCATTGACGGTGCATATTCGCGTGTAGAGATATTCCTCGGGATAGCTATGTGGCTTCATGCCGGTCCAAACATGACAAATACTGTAGTCAGGTAGAAATGCAGACATGCACAAATGAAACAGTGCATGGGCTCGTGTGCGAATCAGCACTGAGAGCCGTGTGCGAACACAGTCACCCCGACCGAAGATCTACACAACACACGCGTTCGCAAGACGAAATCCTAAACCCGATGTGGGAATCCATGTCGTGATCTATTGTCTGCGACTAGCCGGTGCCTGCAACAACTCCTCTAACGAAAGCATCTACATGTTATGATCCTGGCTGGCATGTGGGCTTTTTGCAAGGTTCGAATTTTGGCAAGACGACTCTGAACTACGAGCACCATTCGGATGCACGACGGTCCTGCCGACCAGGTTCGGCAAAGTTCATTGAACGTGCTCGGTGTGTCATTTGGGTTTATTTGTGCGGATTTGGTCTTGATTTCGACTTGAAAGCCCTGATCCTAAACACCAAACAGGCGCAGTGAAAGGCACGTCGCAGGGCCGAAGCTAGTTTTGCTGAACGGGTGCCGCATCACAGCATTGTGCCAAGAAACGTGGTATAGTATAGTATAGTATAGTATCGTATAGTGTGGCATACTAAAACATGGTGAGCTGCCGCCTCTGGCTGTCGCAGATGGAAGATGTGCTGCCAGGCGACACAAACAGAGATACTCTTTCTGCACCTCAGGCATGGAGCCAGTTGGAGTTATCACAGCAGAGTAGGGGAAGTCTCGCGGCGCAGGTTTACGTAGATGGACTTGCTCTGCTCCATGAGCACTCGTTCAAGACATGTCTACACGGTAGCACACACATTCTGCCGTTTACAAATGCTAGAGTCTTGCATGGGCGGGCAAACATCTACGGCTCCGAGCTCCACCTGCCGGCAGCTCTGAAGGTATGCAGATAAATACTTTATTAATGGTAGGACAGTAATACGTGAGTACAGGATAGGGTAATTTTCAACATTTCTAGCATCCACCCAACCTGAAGGGAAGCCCGTAGAATAAGTACACTTACCAGTGCTTGCTATATGCAAACCGCAAGACAAAGATAAAGCCAGCTTGACACAGAAGCCCCGCGTTTTCCCCAAGGCTTTAGCCTTTCTTGCAAGCTCGAGGTTGTTCAAGAGTCTCCTCCAAGCCCGCCAGCAACACTTCTGGAAATTATTACAGCGGATTGCGGCGCTGCTTCACAAGGCAAGTTGCCAAACGACCGGCCAATTGGGCTTGCAACCAGCGCGCAGACAGCGACCTTTGCGTCACATCCCCCCGGAGCCATGTCTTCGAACTAGAGCATTGGGGAGCTATGGGGCATGCCAAGTTCGGGTAAGTGCGCCTTCGTGCTTGATGCCCTCTGGCAAATATTAGCTGCAGAGCACGTATGAGTTTCAGTATCAAGGAAAAGGTCAATGATTGGGTTGGAGCTCTCGCCCCATCGATGCCTCCGTCTTCGCCGCCTATGGTTTGTTGTTTCCTCAACCGTAAGACTTCAGCATTAATCTATTGCTTCAAGACCCGTGTGTAGAGCTGCTTGGAAAAGGCATGCTACGACATTCGGGCCTGTGCCAAAGCCCTTCAGGGTCCTTCAATGCAACAAACGTTCGAACATTGATCCGGCCCTCATATATTCAAACAGAGCTGCTCCACGTTGCCCAACGCCACTGGAAGCACACCTGGCCAGCCAAGCTACGATAACAAGCCGCTGTCACGTGTCCAGCCACGGTAGGTCAGGTGACACAAATTCCATGCATTGCTGCGGATGGTCGGCTGCAGCAAGAACTTCTACATGCTGATTAGAAGTCGTGCGGGCTTGCCTCACTCTCCATTTCCGCCCTCCCTTTCGTTGATTTCAAGGTGCATGCCCGTGCAACAATCGCCGTTCACCGCCCTTCGAGATATCGCCCTCCTCTCGTCTTCTATGCCGATTCCCTGCTCTCTCTGTCTCTCTCACTCTCTCTATCTCTCTCTCTCTCTCTCTCTCTCTCTCTGTCTCTCTCTGTATATATGTACTTATATACTTATTCATATTTAAAGCAATTTATATACTCCCAATACCACCTCGCCCTCAATCGCCCCCTTCCCTGGCCCGGACCTGATGTCGGGAAGTCCAGGCGCGAGGCAGGGAAGAGGCCGTCGCAGCGGCCCGTGAGGCGCAAAGCGAGCTCGGCGACGAACCTGAAATTCTGGGGCCGTACACCCTACTTGGAGGTTCATGGGTAGTTGTAAGTAGGGCTATAACTACCCATGAACCTCCAAGTAACGCTAAATTTCACGGCTCAAGGGCTTAATCGGGGGGTTTTGTGATGGTTCAAGGCAGGGTTCAGGAGCGTTTCAAGCTGCTGCGGAGAGCATGCGGTGTGGGCCCTGCCGGTGTGGCACGAATTTTCTGTACCCACCTTCCTCCTACAAACGCGTCTTCAAAACAATCATGACCCCCTACCCTAACCCACAACATCAAAACCCTCAACCCCAAACCAGATCACCCCCCCCAACAACACCCTCAAAGCCGTCTGAGGTTTGGAGCCCTTTTTGCAGCAGGCCTCGTTGTCCAGCAGCCCGGTTTGGAACCCTAAACCCTAAACCCCTAAACCTGCCGAGGGTCGATTCCGTGGAAATCCCATCGGGTTTGCTCGCAGCGAGGAGTCCTTCCCCTGCCCGTGACTCGGGGTTTAGGCTTTAGGGCATGATAGTTTGGGCTTCCGGTAGGGGACCTAATAACTAAAACGGGTTACTTTGTATTAAAATTATACAAGGAACCCCAAAAACTGAACCCTAAGGAATAAGATTCTAACTCGGCTTCTATGGTGTTGGTCTTTTCTGAGGGAGTACAAGGCTACAAGGCAACACAAGGTCGAGGGTATAGGGCATTGGGGTTTGGGCTCCTTTTGTTCCGGAGGCTTGTTGCCTCCTGCATGGGACTTCAGGGACAAAGGTTTTGGGTGTATGCAAAATATATATATATATATATGTATATATATATATATATATATATATATATGCAACCCCCTCCGAGATAGTTCTATATATAAATATGTATATTAATATACATATATATATATATATATATATATATAGATTATTCTTGTGTCGAAAGATATCAGAGGCTGAAGTCAAGGGCGGACTGCTGTGATCCCTGCTCCCTTTTTGCGCAGACTTGTATATGCCCGACCTCCACCCCTGCTCCCTAGACTCCTAGACCCCATGCCGGGGCTCTGAGTCTTCATGGGTTTCGGGGGATTAGGGTTTCGGATTTCGGCGCTCACACTCGGACAATCCAGGCGAGGCATATGGTTCGGAGGTCTGCTGAGTGGGACATTCTAACAGGAGGAGTCATGATTTCGGGTTTAGGGTTTCCGGTCTTGATGTCATGTCATGGACATCAGAGACAGCTTGGATCCTGCTGCTGAAGATCCCGAGTCAAACCTAGAGCCAGTCAGCATGGCGACTTTCGGCCGACGCAGGCGCGAGTTGCAATGCTCTAAACCCGCCGCGTTCGGATCGTGCTTCACATACACAACTAAGGATGACAATAAGCATAATGTATGTATGTATATCTGTATATATGTACTTAGGTGTATATGATGACATAAGACATGGTACATAAAAAACAATGTAAAACGTTGAGTGTATGATGTAAACCAAAATCTGTACACACCATAAACCAGGCCCTACACACAAAAGTGGATTCCCCAAGATTCGAACGGAACTGTGGAGTTTGCGCGCCTGTCTTCAAGATCTCTCCAGGGTGGCTTCTGTCCAGCCGAACTTCAAGCGACCTCGGTCGCAGCCACCACTTGGAGGTTCATGGGTAGTTATAAGTTAAAAGTGGGGTTGTAAGCCCCTTAATAATCCCAATATGGGTTATTATAGCTACCCTACTTATGACCCCACTCATAACTACCCATAAACCTCCAAGCACCCCCCCTCCGTCAGACCTTCCAAAATCCTTCAATCAAGGAATACAACTGTGATTTGAAGTATCCCCTCATTACGGGATTTTGGAAGTTCTGGGCCCTTCACAACGGGTCCCTTCTTGAGGCTTTGATACCGGTTCTTCCAACTCACGGTCTACATGGGGGGCCATTGTATGCTGAAAGTTCCCCATGCAAGAGCCAGCAAGGGCCACCATGGGGCCCCGAAGACAACTTCGAAGCAAAATCGTGGAGGCCATGGAAGATAGTCAGACTTAGTAAGAGGCTTTTACAGAAAAACCTGGAAACACCCATGCACCCGCAAAGGCGGAAATCTACCCAAAGTATGGTTCCCTTCAGCTAGCCGCATTGGCAGAGATCTATGTTGGACTGTCCTCCAAATTGGAGCTTACTCAGGCTCTACAAACAGCCCCAAGTACATACTAATTGCAGGCTATACTACCAAGGAAGCTACTGCTTCGGTTGATGATATAAATCCTGCATCACCCATAATAGGGAATATACCATAATTCCCATAGTTTAGGTTCCTGAAGGTAATGCAGGATTTATATTATCAACAGTTGCACTCACCTACGGTGTAGGACTGAACGAACTACAGACGGCGCAGAGCTCACCATGACAGAACAGCTACTGAACTCAGAGCCTCCAAAATAAGGGGTTTTGGAGGCTCTGGGAACTCGTGTCCCTGAACATTAATGTCTGCCTAAGGGACTTCAGTTCCCATAATATTGGGGATACTTGCCCAAACCATGATCGCATTTCCTACTACATAAGTACGAAGGACCTTTGGATGCTTTTTGCGACTTCGTTCTGATTAAATGTGCGCAAAGATGCTTGACGGAGTTCGGGGTACAGCCGCGTGCAGCTCCCCTTCCTTCGGCCCCCAGCCCAACAGATTCAGCAAACCCTTCTTCTCTGGAACCTCCTTTGGCTAATGACTGGAACCACCTGAGTAGCAACATGCCCTACATGCCAAACTCCAGAAACTTTCCTAAACCCAACAAACCCGAAATCCTAAAGACTAAACCTTAAGCCCTAAATCCGAAAGAGTGAACCCTGAACCCTGGATTCAGCCAAATCCTAAAGCCTAAATCCCAAACCCCTCGAAACATCTGCCAGGGGAGCCTTTCCCCACGACAGCGCAGCCGCCAAAGCGTCGCCATGTCTCTGAGGAAGTGAATAGCCTTGAGGTTTAGGGTTGCCAGGACCCCCAACTTGCCCTTCATTGCCGGTGGGGCTTTATGACCGAAGGGTAGTCCTGTAGAGCTTATGTAGACCAAACTCACGGATGCGTTGATCAAGGCAGGGGTACCTTATTTTGGGGTCCTTGAAATAAAGATGCTACTATTTAGGAAACTATATTGGTTATATCAGGGGCCTTACCTTCGGAAACTCCCATGAGTCTGAGGCACTGCATCCCGACCACAGGCAGAGCGCACTGCGAATGCCGCCGTGCCTACCTCGCGGTCCCAAGAATGATTTGGCGGGTTTAAAGCTGTGTTTAGGCTGAGAGTATAATAAGCGGTTCAGGTTTAGGGTGTAGGTGTGTAGAAGGGAGAATGCGAGAAAGGCCAGAAAGAGGCTTTCATCAAATAGATATAAGTTGGGTTGAAGCAGTCTTTTGGGTGGCGACGTGGCGAAGCTGCTAAGCTAGACACGCATGGCGCAGTGAATCTCTTCTCATTAGTTGCAGGGAACTAAGCATGTAAAGTCTTACACTGAATGAACACCGCAGCAATGCATGATTGCTGACTGTACGAAGAAGGATTCTGAGGGAAGGGAATTGAAGCTGCTCCAAGTTTCATTGATACGCTAGTGGAACCGAGCTCGCTCACTCTCTCTCTCTCTCTCTCTCTATCTCGCTCTCTCTCTCTCTCTCTCTCTCTCTCTACCGAGCTCAGTAGTGGAACCGAGCTCGCTCGCTCTCGCTCGCTCTCTCTCTCTCTCTCTCTCTCTCTCTCTCTCTCTCTCTGCGTGTGGCAGCACAAGGCCCATGTAGCATTGTCGTCAAAATACAGCCCTCATCCCTCTAGACTCTTGACCCCAAGACCACTATCCCCCTCAACCCTCCATCCCTCTGCAGGCTTGCAAGGACGCCTGGTAGTTTGCCGCTCTTCCTAAACCCCCCAGCCTAAAGCTCTTACCACATCAGACCCCTTGGTACAGCCCCAAACCATCCCAAACCCCCTTTTGCCCTCAGCCCCGAAACCACCGTTTTGCTCTTACCGTACCCTTATAAGCAGCTGTGTGTACGACTACAGCCCCATGGAAATGCAGGCCCAGGGGGGGGGGGGGGCAGCTTTTTGTACTGAAGGTCCAAGTGTGCAACTAATAGCAATTTTCGACCGTAACAAAAGCAACTGCCTGGACCCTTTGACTTTTTCGTGGGAAGTCTTTAGTGTAGATTGAACTATAGGGGGACTTTGATGTCTGTAAGCGGGTATCGTAGATAGTTCTTGTAAGCCCCCTGCTGACTTGCCCAGGGCACCGAAGGTTAACACTTGAGTGGTATAAGATCCATGATACCCCAGAATGGGTTCAAGATACCTAAAGCCACACTACTACTAGGCCCTAAACCCGAAATCTAAAACCTTGTACCCTAAACCTTAAACCCTATACCCCTAACACTAAACCCTACACCCACGGTACTACTGCTGATGGACAAAATCCTGCATGACCCTAAGGACTCTAAACTATGGGAACTATGGTATATTCCTTATAATGGGCAATGCAGGATTTTGCCCATCAACAGTACTAGGCCCGTTTCCTGCCTCGACTGCTCCGGGAGTCAGCTCTGCAGATGCCATGCCCCGCAGAAGGGACATGGCTGGGGCCTCACAACCCAGAGACTCCAATATTCCTTAATTAAGGAATATACCTTAAATCATATCAGGGATCCTACCATAATTTAAGGAATATTCCTTAATTAAGGGATATTGGAGTCTCTGAGAAGCGCGAAAGCTTAATGTGAGTTCAAGGGTTACGGTTTTGAGGTTTAGGGATTATAGGGGTTTAGGGTTTACGGGTTAGGGGTAAGGGTTCAGGGGGTTGAAGACGAGTTTGAGGCTTCTGGGGTTCCGAGGTTCGTTTTATTTGCTTTCATCGCCACTCTTGTACACGTGGTTGCTCACAGAAAGGTTCCGAGGTTCAGAGTTGTCAGATTTCGGCACTTCAAAAGGTTTAGAGTTTAGGGTTAGGGGTCTCAGCATTCAAGGGGGTCTATAATCATAAGCAGCTTCGGGCGTTAAGCAGTTCGGCTGTTCAAGTTTTTAGCAAGGACTGTGCTAGGTACATGCAGGGTACCTTCTCTTGCGGGATAGAAGGCCACAACTACCTTACAGGCAGGGTATCAATACTTCTTACACTAGTTAATCTTAGCTTCAGTACTATCTGCCCCATTACCCATTAAGGATCCTCTAGTATAATCCCCTAAACCCTGCGATGCATGAAACCCAGTTCAAAGTGACAGAAGCAGGCTGAGGGCATTCACAATCGGAATATGGCAGCTTCCGAAAATGAGGGGACCCTAATATAGTACCCGAAATAGTAGGATCCTTATTATAAGGATCCCAAAATAGGGTACCCCTAATTTCGGAAACGCCCATATAGTTACAATAAGGATCGCATAGGAATAGTTTCACCAATCTTCACAGGCGAATGAGGTGAGGCCTCACGTGCAGCTCAAGCCTTTAGGAGCTGCGGGGTCTACTACTGATTAATGTTGTGACTTCTCTATCCATGCACATGCACACAAGCAAAGTGAAAACACAATAAGTTTGAGGTCGGGACAGCGGATGGCTTGAGCTGCTCCAAAAGTCACCATGTGCCCCACGGCCACACACCCCCAAAAGAATACTGCTCTAAATCAGTGCTTATTTACGTCATGCAAGCAGAAGAATGCAACCAAGCACCTGAAATCTAAAGTAAAGAGCCACGGGAAAGACATTACCGAATAATTTTCGAAGCGACCCAGGCCGCTGCCCCTGCACAGGCCGCCACCGCCGCCCCAAAGGACACACGGCCGGGCGGAGACGACTCCATCTTAGAAGGGCTCGGGTTAAGCGTTGATGGATTTTGACTGAGGGCGCTGACTAACAGAGGTGCTATAGAGTTTAGGGCTCAGGCAAGCTTCAAGGAGCTTGGATTCGAAAGTTTATAGGCCTCTGGGAGCGGGCAAGATGGCGCCTCTCAAGATAAAGGGTCCCTTCTCGGCGTTTTTTTGGAGTGGCACACGATGTGAAAGAGACATGATGTGGTGCCCGAACACACAAGCCAGAAGCGAAGACTTGCGCTCCGACGGATTTGGTTCTTAATCACAATCCTTGCTGGTACTGCAGTACATAACATAATTGTTCCAGTCAAATGCCATGTCAGCGGCTGAGATGGAGTGGCGGGTCTCACAGCCGTGGCGGTTGTTGTGGGTGGTTCTTGAAAGTGAGTTTGGCCTCTGTCTGAGAGAACCGTCGCCACCCAGCCTTAGTCCTTATCCAGACGCTGCCTCAATATTTTCGAGGTACTCCGTCCGCACAGCAATCCATGGTGCAAAAGCAACCCTCAGCTCCTTTACATCCTACATCTTCGTCATTGTCATGGCTCACCCTGACGATGTCGGGCCTGATTCAACTGCTGCCGCGGCGCCACGCACAGGGCTGTCTGCCATTCCAGGGACGTCCCGCAAGCATTGACAGCGGAGCTGTAGCTGAAAAGACTGGGAGGGACCTGCCAAGCTTCGAAGAAAGCGCAGGCTAAACCAGACAGTTGAGGGAACAAGCCACAGTCACAGCATGCTTCGCAAGGTGCGGCTTAAAACACCTACATGTTCAAGCCCTTTGGCTAGCTTCTGTCTGCGAAGCCCCACATATGTGGGGGCGTTTCGCAAAGTGGCACGGGCCACAGCAAACTATAAGCCAAGAGCTTCAAAGATTTGGCACCATTGCGTGTCTTACATTGAAGGGGCCCTCTCAAGCTACGTAGACATAAGGCCACCGCTGTAAAGGATAATTAGCGCGCAAACGAAGGCATGACTCATGACCTAGAGTAGGGCTCAGCCCTGATCAGGGCTGATAAGTCTACATGGAGGGGCAGGGCACTTAGTAAGTAGGTTATAAGTAGGGTTATAAGTATACCCTGAATGGAATTACCCCAATTATAACCCTACTTATAAACGACTTACTGTAATTACTAAGTCCCCTGCCCCTCCAAGTAGTCTTAAAGCTTGCCGGCTTGCCTTCCGCCTCGGCATGGACCAGAAGAGGTCTAGTGCCTTCAAGCAAGGATGCGCCAATCGATTCCATAAAAGCTCCGGGAACCACTGCACGTTGGTGACTGGCGAGCGACAGCAGCTGATACAAGTACGACCACGTGATTTCGCGAGACTGTACTATCTTCTTCTGGGAACGTTCTGCCTTTCGCAAGCGGAAGGCTCTTCGATGTATCACCACACACACTCCGCTTACACCCTAAGCATTCCTTAAACCCAAGACCCCTCAAAAGTACCCTTCAATACTCGGCAACTCGCTTGCCAGGCCTTGTCCCAAGCCCCACCGCGATCTAGGGCACGGATACCGGCGCTGAGGCCTCTGGGCACTTTAGTGGTTTATAGAGGGTACTGGGCAATGCATAACACGACCACTTCAGGATGTTTCAAGATGATGACGACCACTTTCATGCTGCTAAGCTATCGGTGCCGGCATCCAGGATTCCAGTATCAGATTCATGGTCGTCACTACCAATCGAACCAGTGCCAGAAACAGTTCTGACTGATCCTACCACTAAGAATTGTAAGCCTCAATGTCTCTGTAGCCATGCTCAATTTGGTTACTGCCTGCGACCGGTAGTAAGGATGGTCTTGCTACAAAACAGCCAAATCCGGAATGTTCCTGTGCCAGTTCCCATCCGAATCATGAGCCTTGTGCTCACAGTATCTGCGGGTGGGTGTTTGGCGCGGTTCTGGTGCCCCAGAGTTGGCTTCAATCTTCCTCGTTCCATGTGGGAGTTTCCGAAAACAGGGGACCCTAATAAAGTATTCTAAACAGTAGGATCCTTATTATAACGATCCCAAAATAGGGTACCCCCAACTTGCGGAAACCCCAGATTGTGTGGTTTTGGGGGGTGAAGGACCCAAGGCCGCAGCTCTGAATTTCTCTTTGTACTTCAGTTTCAGATTTTTGGGACTGGGACGGCATCTGGTGGGACTGGCTTTCGGGTAATATAGGGCCTTATTGATTAGAATAGGGTTTTGGGGCCCAGTATACTATATAATTAGAATAAAGAACACCCAAATAGTAGTGGTAATTGCTTAAGCCCCTTTTTGCTCGCTTAGAAGCTTTCTTGAGGTCCGGGCTTGGCTCAGTGACGTGGAGCCGTCCGGCAAAGGGGCTTCTGACAAGGGGAGCCGGCATGTGAATAGCTAGCTCGGGTCTGGACATGATAGAGCGTGGACCTTGCGGCCCAGTCTCTCAGGCTAAGAGCTAAGGCTGCTTATCTCAACGTGCCTGCCGCGCAGAATCAAGAAACTGAGTCGCCGGCTGATGACATTTGAGGCGACGCCGCCTTTGCATGGACAACGCCAAAAGCTACTTTCGTGGACAGAACTTGTGCGTATAGCATAGTTTCTACGTTTGTCAAAGGCCTCCATAGATTTCCGACTTCCAATCACGCAATATGGGCCATCTGGGGTCCACGGACCCCTTGGGGTAAAATCCCGAAACCCTGTTTCCTTAGGAAGCCAAACTTGCTTTAACCATCTCTGCATAGGGGTCTCCTACCCCGAAAAAACGATTGGAAACAAGTCTAGCCCCAAGTACTAACTCGAAGCACTTCCAGCATAGCTTTGTCACTTGTTAGCGTTTCCATGCGGACGTCTAGCGTCAACCTGCAAAAAACCACCTTTTTGTAATTAGCATCCTTTTGAAGCCTTCGTTCTACAACAAGGTAGGTCACCATAGCCTGAAGTAGTGCCCAGGCTGTATACAGCTGCCAGGTATCCGCCTGCGGAGCTGAACTTTTGACGATCTTCTCGATATGTCATGCTGCAAATTTCTGAGAACCGGGTAAGTCGTAGAAAACGCCCGGATATAGGGCATAGGGGCCTGAATAATTACCAGTACTATTTCGGGGGTTCCTTATTATAAGCATAGTATAGTTGGCCATAATATAACCCTCAACCCCTCAAACACAGGGAGTCCAAAGGCTAAGTCTCCGCCTTCAACTGCTGCCACTGGGCTGCCACACTACACCCTAAATCATAAACCCCTAAACCCTAAACCCCAAACCCTAAACCCTAAACCCTAAGCCCTAAGCCCCTAAACCCTAAACCACAAACGAGATTCAGAAAAATGGAGGACCCCACGGGTTTGGGGAGACTAGGTTTTACACTTACGAGCTTCAGGGTCTCAGATTTTGGGGTTCAAGTGGCACCTGAGATCTCAGGAGCGCAACCTAATTTCAAAACCCCTGTGAAAATTTTGCAGGATCCTTATACATATGCGCTCCTAGACATGGCAACCCGTATGGCTCCAACTGCCCAAAACGACCCTATAGCCTTACGTAGCTTAACCAGAATATACTCTGATGTAAACAGGAGCCAAATCGAAGATGCCAAACTCTCAACCCTGAACGCCACTCGAGCTCCTGCCTATAGACCCTCCACAAGAAGCTCGAAGTCCGGAAGCTGATGTTCCCCGGGCTGAACCCCCCAAAAGCGCCTCCTGCCATTCGATGAAGCAACTGGGGAGCCAGCTCCCAACGGCCTCCATCACCCTGCAGACAGGCTTGGGGTCTGAAGAGTCAAGGTATTGGGGTAGGTCCAAATTTCAGAAGTGGCTTCGTAAGAGTTGCTAGCGGAGGCCACCGGCCAATTGGAGTATCGAGCAAAACATTGTTGAATGCTTGGTGTGCCCCGCACCCGAACTTTCACACCCCACTTAGCCCTCTTCCCTGCAGGCAAGTCGCACTGACACTTGCGACCTCGGTGCTGCAGAAAGTCGGCTCGTGAAGCCGACGACAAAAATGCAAGTGTCGTGGGTCGCCTTTGAGATGTGCTTGGGCAATCACCCCAACATAGTGGCACCAATGTGCAGAACATGGTTCTAGGGTATGTGATACTATAAACATGCAGGGCGTGCAAAGGATGTTGTTCCTAACTACGGCCCACCTTTGACAATGCACTCCTACCCCACAAAAACCTGGAACCCCGAAACCGTTCATTCTGAAACTCCGACTCAGTGGCCGAGCTGTAGCTGATCACATCGGGGGCCAAGGCGGCTGGTGGCATGGCATCCAGGAGACCTTGGCTAGGGATTTACGTGAGTTTATACGATTATACAGGCCATTCAAAAGCTCTCTCTCTCTCTCTCTCGAATATATATATATATATATATATATATATATATATATGTGTGTGTGTGTGTGTATATATATATATACCAGCAGGGAAACAGCAAGTGGGTCAAATTTGCATCATATCGCAGTGAATAGGGCTTAATGACTAAATGCTTAGACCTTCGCGTTTCCTGCCATGCGCAGCATACGTGGTTTTATGGACGGAATTTGCACAGGCCCTGTCGGCAAATATTGGTATTGCATCCAGTGATCCACCGGCTCTGATGCGTCCTGCTACCACTGCACTCACAACTGCATGTCAACAACATGCCAAAGAAAAAATCAGAACGATCGTGTGGGGCAGTGCAGGGCTTTCCGTATTTAGTGAAGTATGTTGTAGCCAAGCTCCAGATAATCCAACCAACAAACACAAACTCGCACATAACCTGAAGCCCAAATAGCATAACAGTACAGTAAAACCCTAAACTCAACCCAACAGCCGACACCTGCTCGTCGCCCAACCCTAAACACCCAAAGCCTAACGTCGGATAATTCGGAATACGATTCCTGAATAGTCCTCTAAGGACCCCCCCAAAACCTATTCCAACTATTACTGGCCCTAAACCTAAACCCTAAACCCTTTTTTTGCAGCAGGCCTCGTTGTCCAGCAGCCCGGCTACAAGAAGCCCAAAACCCTAACCCCCTAAACCCTAAACCCTACATTGAGCCAAGAAGCCCAAAGCCAGTGGCCAAAGTCCCCCTGCCTTGGCAGAGCAAAGGAAATCTTCAGGAAACGAAAGCCGCTTTTGGTCTGCGAAACAGGTGGCAGCGCTATAGCAGTGCCCTATCCCACTCAGGTCACGAGTATGTATATATATATATATATATATATTATATACATATTGTGAAGAGGGGGGGAGGGAGAGAGAGAGAGAGAGAGAGAGAGAGAGAGAGAGAGAGAGAGAGCGAGAGCGAGAGCGAGAGCGAGAGCGAGAGCGAGAGCGAGAGCGAGAGAGTACACAATAGGCTTAGGGTTTCAGGGCCCCCGTTTTGAGGTTTACATACAATGTCGAGTTGTAGGGTGTGCGTTCTGGGATTGGGTTTTACACCTAAAACCTGTAAATTTCGAGCCCTAAACCTTTCATCACCCTTCGCACTGACCTCTCCTGTGCAGACGAGATGCCTTGCACGCACGGATTACAGCATTGTACGCGAAGAGATCGCTGTTGAATCGAGCTTCGCTCATTTCGCTCCTTGAGGGTTTAGGGCTAGGGACTTTGGGTTAAAGCTCTTTTTCCCTCCTACCTAGGGATGCGGGATTGAGGGCTCCAGGTCATCATTCCGAGTTAGAATCCATAGTATACTTCAGAAACTGCATTGTGAGGGGTATTCATGTATACGATGTATGCTCTGTTACTAATTCTTCAGCCCTCCATATTTTTTTGTTTCTCTAGTCTCGTTGAGAGTGACTCATGCGACAGCACCTTCGCGGGAGTCAGCGAAAGCATGTATCTCCCTGTGCCGTGAACTATTGCATTGGGTGCCTGTATGTACATTGTAATATCGGATTCTCTTTGTGACAGGCCTCGCATGTATCAGTCTCCTTGTCACGCGCTAACCAATTAAACGCAACTTTGCCTTGATCAGGAAAAACGCTGTTTTGAACTTTCGGCCCGGACACAGCAACTGCATCGCCACGTGCCAGCAACCTGTGCGTTCGTGTCAGCTTGATATGAGACATGACCCGTTCACAGGTCCAGCGCGCAGCACTAGACTTGAGGACTGCAACCCAATAGGATGACTACAAGCACAAAACACCACAAGGCATGCTCAACAGAGCATGAGTCGTGCCTCCTTTCGCACAGGCACTGATAGCACTCGTGTAGCTCACATCGTCCGGAGGAATGTCGTCGTCACACATGTCCTATGATTTGGACTCTGGAAACGACTGACTGAGCTGTTCAACAGGTGAACTTGCCCTAGAATCGCCAGACAGACGAACTGGGCAGGCTGACTGCGCAGGGACCAAATTGCGAAGAACTCCTTGACACCACTATCAGTTGACTAACACTGCGTCTGGCCTTGTTCCAATGATCTTGCACGTAGCAGCACTAGCAGCCGCAGAAATAACACGAAAAATGGTCGTGGTGGTGGCGTGGTAGTAGTGGTAGTCGTCGTGGTGGTGGCGGTGGTAGTCGTGACGGTAGCGTAACTAGCAGGAACGGCAGCAGCAACAGCAGGAGCAGTGGCAGCGGCAGGAGCAGGAGCAGCAGCAGCAGCAGTAGCGGTATTGTAAGCAGCGGTCGGCTGGTCAGTCGGTAGGCAGGAAGGTAGTGGCGGCGAGAGCGTTGTATGCACAGTTCAAGTCCTGGAGCAGGGCGATTGCAACGAGCCATGCCGGACCAACGGCACCGATGGTCGAAGCCTAGGAACTGCAATCATCAAGTCGTCGTTGCAAACACAGGACTTGCGTGATGCGCTGCAGCTAAACCGAGGGTTCTAACATGCGCGACGGTGTAGAGGAACACATCCAGGAAGTTACCGTGATGTGTCGAAAACATGTATGAAAATATGGATTCGTTTCATTAAAAAACTCGATTTGCAAACACACTTCGGACACTTTCCGACATATTCTCTAAACATGTTCAACACAAAAACTGTTTCCAAGCTTCCTGCGGATTCTGCTCGCAAGAAAACAAAGGACCAACTCTTTGTCAAATGGCAAGCTACATGTGCCAATTTCTGAATGCAACGGCGGCATGTTCGAGGCATCTGACAAGCAGAAAGTTGTCACAATACAAGCTTCACAGCCACAAGCTAGTGCATTGTGCTTTGATCTGTTTCTGCACATGTCCTCAGATTCGTACACCCGTGCCGCTCATGCAAGCCTGGTAGCATAGCTGAACTTGTCCGGGCAAACCTGCACGTGGGAAGGTTTGTGTCCCATTGGCGGCTACACAGAACCATGTCATCCCATCGATATCTGTCGACTCCTATTCGTCCTGTTGGACCGCAAGAACCAAGGCCGTTTGGAAACCAAGACATCGCATCCTTCGCAACCATGCCGAGGGCGAATCTTAACCCTGGGCCCTCAATCTCTAAGGATCGGTGGCCTGGAACTTGGGCATAGCCGTCAACAGTGACAATGCATGCTGCCAGCGTTCTTCCTTTGCACAGAGATTGATGACCTCAGGATAACTCCGCAAAGCAGGCTGTAAAGGGTGATCATATACGGGTTTTATGCAATGGGGCGTTACCCACAAACAAGTGAGCCCAAAATAGACGTAGCTGGGTCCTCGTCACAACGACCCCCCCCCCCCGCGCACTGGGGACCCACGATTCAAAAACAAGATCTCAAAATCGTTGTTGAACCCCCCTCCCCCACAGCCCCACAGCTAAAACGACTGCGGCTTCCGAAGACAAAGACTTTTTGCTCTTTGCTCCGGGGTGCCGTGTTGCAAGTGATCCTTAGCTGTCCGCTGTCAGCCCAGCATCGAGCACTGCTACTATGATGTGTATTGCGATGGTGATGATACCTGGCTGCAAGGTTTGCAACATCTGCAGTGTTTTGTATACGGGTAATATCAATACATAGTGTTATGCATGGCCCATCCCAGAAGTCCAAATGTGATGTGAAGATCATGCACAGCTTCTGTAGTCAGCATGAACAGCATGCTAAACTTCGATGGCTGCTGTCGCGATTCCTGGTGGGGTCTCCGGCTCTCAACTTTTTATTAAGAACGAGCGGCTTGGGATCCCAAACCGCCAAATCCCGATGTCTTTTTCCGGGGAGGGGTGCCGGGAACTGCAGGTGTAAGCAAACAGGCTTCTCAAAGAGCGAGCTCAAACGAAGGAATACCGGAATACCAGCAAAACCTATGCCGACGACCTTCAGCCAAACGCAGAGGCCTGAAGTACTTTTCTAGACTTAATGGCGACTAAGCAGGCCATGGTCTGTGGCAGACTGGGAGCACATCAAAGCCGCATCAAACGCAGCCCTTGCCGCCCGAACCCTAACCGCTCGCGTGTTACGTGTTCAACTTCGCTCGCACGCTGCAGCGCCAACATCAAAACCTGATGAACCTCCAAGTAAGTGTGGTTACTCAGACACTCTTTATAGGCGCCTTAATAGTTACTCTTTTCGAGGTGCTACCGAGGAAGGGCCTTTAGAGGAACCTGGCTACCTAAGCTTTGGACTCTAGGCTCAACCCTGAAATTACACCCCGAAAGGCACGCAACAACTTTATATGAGCAAAAAAGGCCTGCAAGGGCGTGTCATTCTTGCGCAGGGGTCTTGCAACACTCCCCCCTTTGCGCTTCGCAAAGACTACGTGGCCCTTGCTACTCCTGTGGACTTCTGCCTCTTAAGAGGAATCCATCCATTCAGGAGTTTCCGCGGCCATCTACAGTAGAGCTCAAGGCCTTTCGAAGGAAACAGAAGATAAGAGACGACTTAAAGTATAGTACTTAAAAGCCCCTTTAACCCCGCGGTACCGCCTCAAAAATCCACAAGGGAAAGGACGGATGGTGGCACGGCGAGGAGGGAAGAAAGAAGTCGAGGGCCTGACTAGCCCCGAAGGAAAGCTAAGTCCAGCCATGAGGAAGAAAGCGACACTTACAGGCCGCTGCAAAAGTCCAGGCCGGCAGGCAGCGGATCAGTTTAACGAGTTGGTGCTCGGAGGCTATGGTAGCCTGCAAGGCACTGGTTGCCTTGAAGTCCATCACTCACCCTCCCCTGCGGCGTCGAAGTCCAGTAGGGAGATTGGTATGGAAGACCGTGCGGCCAACCACACAGTCACTGCACGGAAGCAGTGATGAATGATCCCGGTTTCGGAGATGGTAGCACTCGGGATTTTGATGCCAGTGGGAGCCGCTGGAGGTAGAATGGCTCACCAGGTCAATTGGGTGACGGTATGTAGCTGCAGGGGCAGCGGGAAGAACAGGAGGAAGAGGAGCGTAGTCCTCAGGATTGGTATTCACTCCGATAGATCGGAGATTCGAAGGAGATCTAGAGGATGAAGGGGCTCCACCGGGAAGTCGAGCACCGATGGAGGAGGACGAACCCCTGGGAAGTCGAGCGCAGCTGCTGCGTGGTCCCAGAATCGGGCGAGGAATGCACATCCAGAACCCCGGGAAATCGAGCACCGAGGCCTGGGAACACGTACGCAACTAAGCCTAAGAACCTCCTAAGGAAGGACCTAAAACCCTCGTAGGCTAAGATCACAACCGTAAGGTACACTATAACCCAACCCCAACCCTCAGGCTCAGGAGAGCCTTGCCCTTTCAGAAGCAGGGCACAGCATGCCAGCACTGCAGCTAGCCGCAACCTACAATCCTCAGACGGATTCTTAACCCCTAAAAACGGCAACATGTCGCCGAACTTTGAGGCTGTCATCGCCTTTGTAAGGATATCAGCGGGCATCAGCAAGCCGCTTAAGTGATAAACCGTCCAAACACCATTTTCGATCCTTTCACGTAGGGCATGGGACCTAAGTCTTAAGTGGCGGGATCTCCAGGAAGTTGGGGGGCCGCTTACAATGCTTATTGCTGAAGAATTATCTCCGAAGAGGGATCGAGTAAGGGGCTCTGGAAAGATCTCCCCAATCAAGGCCTCAACAGCTTCAGCTGCTTGCACAACACAGACGTAGCTGATCAGCTCGCTCTCAGCGGTTGACAGAGCAGTCAGCGTCTGGCGGCCAGATTCCCAGTGGAGCGGAGCTCCAGCCCAGCACACTAGCAGACCCTGGTGGGATCTGCCTGAACTTGGCCCAAAAGAGGCGTCTGCAAAAGCATGCAACGTCGTTTCAACGACCGGCCTTGGATACTGTTGAGAGGCCCCGCAGTCTCCAGGAGGAGGGCCATACACAATGCACTGGGAGGGTGAAGAATTCAAGAAACGCAACACTCCCTGCCCAATGCTTAGCGCATCCTTTGGCCTCTTGGTGGTCAACTGTGCCATGCGGCTGACTGGAAAAGACAGCTCGGGGCGCGCTCGAACTGAGAGCCACAGTAGCTCACCAGTTATGCTTTGAGCGGCCTTAACCGCTTCCGGATCAACCGGGTCATCACGGCTTTCGCCATCATCGAAGTTGGCTGACCACGCGGCACATGGAGACTTGGCACTCCCCTGCACGTTGTGCCTCTTCAAGAGTTCCTTGATGTACTTGGTCTGCCCAATCAAGAGACCATCAGCAGACTCCGAAATCTCAAGACCGCAATATTCAACTGGGCCATCTTCAGTATGCGTAAATGCGCTGCACTCCCATGTGGCCTTGATTTTTTCAAGAAGAGCAGATCGCTCCGACCAGGGTCCCAACACTAGGAGGTCATCGACATACCAACACATCAAGGCAACAGTCTCACCGCAAGGGGACTTGACGAGCCAAATGTTGGGGTCAGCAACACACTGTTGCAAGTGGCGGTTCTCGCCATCAACGGTCCAGGTCAGGACTCTGCAGGTTTTGTCCCGGAGGCGGGACCAAGCACGAGGTGAGGTCTGGAGTCCATAGAGAGCACCGTGGACTCTCCACTTATAGCCCCTCGGGATAACTCCCGCGGCATACAGCACCTTAGGTGGATTGCAGATCAGATACTCTGCCTCCTGCTCATCAAGAGGAGCGTTGAGGAAAGCAGTCTTGACATCAGTTCCTGAACCACCGTGCTTCCTCATGCCCGCCCATCTCAAGGCCGTGCGGATCGAAAGAGAATCCGCTCCTCCGGCATAGAAGGACTCTGCCGCCCTTTCCTCGGACCACTTTTGAAAATTGCCGCAAATTACAGCTCTATACTTATTTCTCTTAGTGGATCCGGGAGCTACAGGGGGCTTTTCAGTGGCAACACCCCGGCCGGGGAGGATCTCTACATCTTCACCATCTAAAATCCATTTTTCAACTTGACTATCTGCCACAAGCTCAACAGCACCCTTCGAAATCAAGGAATCGCACTCTGCTTTCATGGCATCCCGCCACTCATGCAGTTTCTCACGGACTTCCTCATTCGAGACGATGCGGGTATGCAGCAAGGGCTGAGACTCAAGATGTTCTGCTGCAGGGGCAGCGGCACACACCCTCCACGAGGAGGAACTGACAGGCTCATCGCAGCCATACAGGCGCGCAAGTTCTAGATGCCAGCCCAACTCATTTCGAAGGGAGGAAGCTTCGCGCATCGCCTGCAAGGTGATAGGGTCAACTGGGCCTTCGGAAGAAGCGCCCACAACAGATCGTTGCAGTGACTTCAAGAAATGCGTCACTGCTTGGTGCATTTGCTCATATCCCTGAGTCACCTGACTCCAAGATTCCTCTGCCGGGAGGTCTGCTTCCTCTTCACCTGAATCACACTCATCTGGAAGCAACTTCGACACACCGTCTCCAGGAGAGGGTTCTCCGATGACGGAAGACGACGACAGAGGCTCAAGGTCCTGGATTGGCATATTCACCCATCTCAAGCTTAGAAGATCCGAAGAAGTTAACTTTTCAAGAGATCTAGGGGTGTAGCCCAAAACCAGGATTTTATCTCCTTCCCAACTTCCAGACTTATGGAGATCACGCGGGGGGAAACTAAGCCAGGCATTTGGCGGAAGAGGCATCTCATGGCCCCGGACCTCAAGAGAACCTGAGCCTTGCCCGACATTCCAAACCACATTCATTGACTCAAGGGAATTGTGAGAGTCCCGATGGATCTCTGACTCAATGTTGACGACAAAGCCAACGGAGGCAAAGCAATGCCCAGTGCGGTGGAAGAGGCTCACAGCAAGAAGGCGAGTGAGCCACGGGCACTCATGCACCGTATTGGTGATTCCAACCTTAGCACTGAAAACCCAAGCCCCGGAAGACCAGAACCAAGGAGGGAGCGTTGCTCCTGAAGCTTCATCTTTCTGGTTCCCGGCAAGAGGGCGCTTCGCGATCCGATTGATCGCTTTCTTATCTTGAACGTACAAACGGATAGCATTTGCAAGCTGACCCGTGGAAACGGAGTTTCCTTCAAGAAGCACCTGCTTGCAGAAGGTCTCACACGGAGAGAACGCTTCTGTTGCCGACGGGGAACCGCCAGAGTTAGAGAAGAGCCGAGCAACACGAAAGGCAGGCCCAGCATCAGGGTCCCGACGCGGAGAACGATCTCTCCTGTTCTCAAAGGGCGGAGGCCCTTGGGGATTGGGAACTGGGTTGCGACCGGTCTCTTCAGAAGAGCGGAACCGATCTTGCCATATCATGTTACTTTCGATCAGAAACCACTGAGGGGGTTGGCCATATCGGATGGCCCGGTAAAGGTAGGCGCGACGATTGGGTTCGCCTTCAAAGTCGACGACCCTTTCGGTTTCTACGACGCCAAGGAGGTCAAGCTCGTACTCAGTGTTTTGATCATTCAAGCCACCGGGCTGGTACCCAAACACATAGGGCACGGGAGCATTAGTATGCCGGTGATCCCAAATCATACGCACCTCAGGCATGATGGTCCAATTTCGACCCCG